GCACGCATGTATGTATGTGACGTGTATGGGTGTGAGTGTGTTTACATCACCGCCACCTGTCAGGCCTGTGCTCTGGGGATCTCGCGATAGCTCGTAGAGAGTGCCTCTGTACACACTGGCCCCATCCACGGGACTAGCTGGCGAAGAGAGGGGCCATGCAGATTACCTCGCTGCGTTGCCTTACATAGGTAAGAAATCAAATGGTGAATGATCCAAGGAGGCTCTTTCTGGGTCGGGAGCCCTAATCGCTACCTGGCCCAAGCAGCAGCAGGCGACGCAGCCGCCAGCATATTGTCTACATCGACTATCGAGGCCTGGGGATGTTGGTTCGGGACTTGGTGTAAATTACATGCAGAATGATCTTCGTGCCTACGTCTACAAACGCATGCAAATACCACATGCCTACAAACAGCTCGGAATGGTTGGTGGCCTGGGTAGCGTGGGATTGCTGGCCAACTCCATGCGCTTGTAGCAGTACCTCCTGCCACCTCCCTGCCCGACGACCTGGTTGCTATTCCAGTCCTGATGATTCGGCAGTGGGCGGACAGGGCCTAGGGGGGTCAGCTTAAAGATGCATGCTGCTTGCTGTAGGTGCTTTTAGCGCGCAACCAGCATGGGGGGCTGGTCCTGGCTCTCCGGTCTCTGGCCTCTGGCCTATACGGCCGGTCTAGACGATAAGTCATCTAGAGCCTAACGTTAGCTGTACGCAGTCGGCTTGAGGCAGGTTAGCACCGAGAAGGGAAAAAAAAAAGGGAAAAAAAAGGGAAAAAGGAAAAAAAAAAAATCAGGGTCGTGCTGGGGGCAACTTGCTCCTTCCCCCGGCCTACTGCTCTTAATATGCACGCCTAATTGGTTCCCAGGCCCGTACCTGTCAATATTGAGGAGGGTAACTTCAATTTCTTTTGTCCCTTTTGCAAATGCTACCCCGCGTTGGTAGCCTCTTTTTCCATTCATTACCATCATTTTCTCCCCCCCCCAGCGGAGGTGAGGTATGAGCCGTTTGTTCTGGACTGGCCTTTTCGAAGAGACAAGTCTCACACCACCCCCGCCGGGTGCATTGGGTCGTGAGATAGGCAGTTAACCTGGCGGGAGCTGAAGACGAGAAAGGGAACATGCATGATTTCCTCCCTCTTCCTCCCTCTTCCGCCTCTCCTCCGCTCCTTCACCCCTCCCCTCTCCCCCTTTCGCACTTCTCCCCACGCCGCCTTTCTATATACCACTCACAAAATTCTCTAAGTGAGTGACCAGCTGACTCTTTCAGCCTATATCGTACCAACGGGGGCGGGACGGGCCCGCCAGATTTTGTTCGCAAGAGTCTCGACCAGCCACCATGTCTCTCATCTTTACGCCTAAACCAACAATATCCGTCCCTGCCTAGCTGAAGTGAGTCCTCAACTCCGAGTTTGCTGACATGACATGTATGTTTCCTCTTACTCTTTCCACCTCCCCTACTTGGTATGTTCACTGCCAATTCATCTGCATACTCACGCGGGCAGTCGCCCTGACCTGTGGTCATTCTGGAGGATGTGCTCATCGATGACGAGCTAAACAAGGGAAGCCACTGATTACTGCTTATCTGAGCCGTATACCCTAAACATGATCAACGTTCCTATTATAGCCTTGGCCACAGTAAACCACTTGATACGGCCAACGCAATGGAAAAAGCCGATACCATCTCCTTCTTCAAACAATCCAAGTGCATATTTTCTCCAGCCATGTTTTTGACCGAACTCCCAAAACGATCAACTGGGAGAAGCAAGCTACACCACTGACCTATCCCAGAGACCCAGGACGGTGGTACTCGGTGTGTACTCCCCGCCAGACCAGCGGGTCGCTGCATGAAATGGTACTGAAATGGGGTGACAGCTCAAAGATAACCAGCCGCCTTGCAGCTTTGGAACCCCTCCCCCTGGTCATAGCTCGCCGGAACCGACTTAGAAGCTCTTGTGCAGCCGAATCAACGGCCTAAGCCAATACTACACCACCTCTTCACCGAGCTGAAGGGGGTAGGTACATGCGGACTTTCGGTGCACACTCAATGAGATGTCGTGGCAGTTAAGCTATCACTTGTCAACCTGCAGCCTGGGCCGCCTTGCGATATCACATCTATCCATCCATCCTTTCTTAGTATGGCCGCGGTCACTGCTATGTATATTCTCTTCCTGCGAACGAGTGATTGCCTTACCTTCCCATGCGTTCTCGTGGTTCCCCCCCCCTCGGTTCTCTGCGAGAACTACTACCGCCACCAGGATCAACACACCACCACCGAGCCTATTTGAGTTGTTGGTTGTACGAAAGTCTATCTTGCCAGCATGTCGCAGCTGATCATGGGATCGATTCCCCCCCCCATTTGCCCCTCTCATCCGAGCTTTGTGGGCAGACTGCTTTGTCTTGCCCTCGCCGGAAGAGGGGTCTTCGGGGCTGTCAACGGCCTCGCCCGCAGGTCTGGAATTTTTTTTGTTCGTCCTATCGCCATGTTGACGCAAGTGCTATGTCATGATAACCTCAACATCAATCGTAGTCCCACTTGACAACAGCCGTTACCAGGATTGAACCCCTCACGCGCTCGCCCAAATACTACAGAATCTCAAACGACAATATCCCTCCTCCTGCACGGTGACCCCATTGCATCGCACACCTTTTAATCCCCGAGGAGGGTGTTGGGATGTTTTGGGCAAACCGGAATACATGCCTCAGCTCTACTGAACGAGGAAGGGCCCAGAGCCGTTGCTAGTCTCCGTGCCCACGGCTGGCACTATCGAGACACCACCCCAATCCAGATTTGTGGCACAGGGGTCTTGGGAAGGGAGACCAGGGGGGCATGTCATATGCGTGCCACGTCAATCTCCCGCAGCATGCTCGTCAGCCCTGGAACACAAAGGGATGGGATGCGCAGAGAAGGCTGGACAACACCACCCAGCACACAGGCAGACAAAGGGAAAATGGATGGAGCCCACCACCAATTCCAATCAACTCCATAATTGGGCCAGTCACGTAAGCAGAACTTCAGTAGTCCTCCGAATGAGGCTGGCAGCTAGGCTACCGAGGCATTGCGCGCCGGCCTGATCGGATTGAGGACCTTCAATTTGAGCTATGGCCTCTTCTATTTACGCTGGACCAAATCTCGCCCGTCAGGGAATAAATGGTTCCGTGTATCATTGCCAGATAGCGCGCGGATCAGGCTGAGGCCTAATTACTCACCGCCGCAGATGTGAGCTTCACTAATCGATGACGGAAGAGACGCGGGATCGGCTTATGCCCTTTTTTCCCTCTTGTCCCCGTTGACCCCCTTGCCCACGATACAAGCAAAGCGCAAAACAGGCACCACTGCTGCTCCAGAGCTACCATCCTGGGCGCGACGAGGCGCGACCCTACTGCAATCTCCCTCATCGGCGTTATACCGATCAGCGGTTTCAAAGGCGGTCAGAGCTGTTGAGCACTCGCATGAGCTCCCGGTCACGTTATTCCGAAACCCCCTACCTTGTCCACCCCCTTTGCTGAATATACGAGTTGCTTGTTTTCACTTTTGATCCCTTCTTCAAGGCTACGTCGCTAGCTATATATATCTTCTGTTCTCGCGTTGCTTGGGTGGAAGAAACAGCTTCATGCCGGGCTACATTACCCAAAACATGCCTTGTGACGGAGCAGTGGGTAAGGTAGCAACCAATGCCGGCGGGGATCATCGGTTTCTATCTGTTCTTAATGGTCCTTTCTTCCCCCCACCCCCTTGTCGCCCTACGGAGCAAAATGATTGGAGCAAAACAGTCCCGGTTGTACGGGCAAGGCAGGATCATAGACCAAAGGACAAGAAAAACAAATACTGGACAATTTACTCAAAACACGGGGGGTGAGGGCGGGCGGGCGAGCAGAGAGGTGCGAGGCGTGGCGCGACACGGCCGCCTCAACTCAAGGGAGCAAACCAGAAGTTTGAAAAAAGGAAAGACCGAGAAGAGAGTTCGTGCTTGCTTTTCGCTTTCGCGATGGCCGGAACTGCTTAAAAGACAATGGAAAGTTAGTGTGCCGCTAGTGAGGAAGAGTGAATGGGATGGGATCAGGCACAGACAGGTAGCTACTGGCCGTTGTGTGTCTCCCACGTTGCTGGTTGGCTGCGATGGAGTAGGGTTCATGGATTATTCTAGGACGGGGAGAGGAGAGAAAGGGAGGCTTAGACTTGTTTCGAGGTTTCTAAAACCGCCAGGCGATGGTTAGGGACCCGGGCTCTTGGTATCAAGGCCGGCGGTGGGTGGGGGAGAGCAAGCAGAATGATGGCAGAGTCATGGACAAACAGGGGGTGGGGTGTCTGAGCATCAACAGAAGGGAGAGAGTTAGGTAAGTTGGTGGGGGGCTTTTCCCCCAGACATTCATTCGTCTGGTCTTGATAGGAGAGGTACATGCCATGCCAATTTACACGGTGCGGCAGCTTTTGCTCCGACCACAACAACGGGTGAGGCAGAGGGCAGGGCCACCACCCAGCTCTGGCTCGGGCTGGGTAGGATACTTGCTTGCTTTGTCCGTCCCTCTTGCCTACCTCGGGCAGGTAGCCTGCGCGTATGTTGCTCCCTGTGTACACCTCATCAAGGCCAAGCTAGCGGTTTGGCAGGCTGGGTTATGGGTGGCAACGGTCGCCACACACAGTGACGATTGTGGTTCTTTGCTTTATCGGGAAACGACCAGGTCAGGGCCTCGAGGGCCCAAAAGCACTACCTGGACGCGGTATAGCACATGCGCTCTCCGGATTCAGGACAGGACCTGCAACATGCTTGCTGTTCAGCATCAACGTCGCATCGGTATCTGCTGGTTTCTCGTGGTGGCGTCATGTGGACAGGAGCGATCAGTCGCCGGAGGCGTCCACCTGTACCTTTGTGCAGCCTTACCTGAGGTGCAGATATGCAGGTAGTACGTACGTGAATGGGGAGCAGAGCATGGCATGGCAAGAGAGAGACGGACTGGCCGGGTACAGGGATTGGTACTTTCCTTCCCTGCCAGCGGTTCTTCTCCCATCATTCCACGACAAATGCTACGTAGAACGTTGCAATGGCCGAGCGGGGGCCAACCATGTCCGAGATGGGGAGTAGTGCCGCGTACATCTTTTGGGTTGGGTCGGGTTGGGTTCCTTTGCTCTGGCCGACGATCAAGCAACGCAACGCAACTTCAACTGCCCACCTCCGAGACCTTGATGGTGGGGGGTCTACCCGGGTAAAGAGCATCTCTAACACCCGGCGAGCCACTGGACAATGGTTAATGGAACGGCCGGATGCATGTTTGCGCGAGTAAGTTTGGGCTGGGACTGTACTGCAATTTACACTAAGGCTGACTAACAAGACGGCCCCGAGGCAGCATATCCACAGATAGAATACTGGCAACTCGGACGGTCGTACCTGTATTACCATTCACCTGGTTTGGCTTGGTCTGATCTGGCTTAGCCAGCTCCCCGGGGAAGTCTCCTAGAGCCGGCCGGCCATGAGCTGAATAGAACCGAGACATTTCGAGGGCGGTCTCCTTTTCGCCTCTTCGCGCCGTTGGGGTTCTTGGCTCTCTCCACACCTGGCTGGCGCTCCTATCATGCGTTTCACCACCTTCCACGGCGAGCCCAGAAGCCATCTGCCATAGGCTCTGGCAGGCGAGAGGGAGCCCACGGGCCCCTTTTTCGAAAGGGAGGACGGAATCCATTCCTTGGCCTGCCCGACGCTGCCACTCCTCCCATAAGCCCTTGGCGTCTGCTTTGGGGATTTGTTTCTTCCACGGGATCCCAAGTGGCAGGGTAGTATTTCGAATTTCGGAGCCACATCAGGATCAAACGAAGCATACGTGTATGTACGTGCGCGCGTGCATGTTCACGCCATGCCCCTTCCAATGGGAGCCCGTTTGGCATCGTGGTCGTGGACGCGTGTACCTCTGCGCAAGCTGAGGGAAATGGGCTCCATCCGGGCGCCCCTTCACTCGTCCTCTTTCTCTTTTATCTCTCTCCTTCTCGACGACGGTTTCACACTCTGGCGGTTTCATTGACACGAGGAGAATATCCGGCCGTTGACCTGGTACCTGAGTTTTGCCCGAACGAGTTTAGAAGCTGGGTTTTAGCCTCGATTGGCCAACAGCCGCACAGGCGAATGACTGACTGGCAACGGCCTGGCTACCAGGTACATTCAAGGCGGCGACGGAGAAATGCAAAACGGCTGGGATTCGGGGGAGGCCCTGCCCTGGCATGCACCGCCAGAGATGTAGACCCTAAACGGCCCCCCACGAGCACGGGGCGCGCTCCTCATCTTGAAATCAATCAATCTGGCTGGCGTGCGAGTAGCCGAGGCCTCCTGTTGCAATTTCAGGGTCCATTTCAGCAGGCGTTGAAAGTGACACCCCGAGGGGGCACACGGGTGACGAGCCAGCCAATGACGGGTCAGATGTTACAGGGCTCGCCCGCTACCACCCTGAAAGGCGTCTCTTGAAAATTATCCCTACATCGATCATTTTTAAGGTAGTTTTTTTTTTTTTTTTTTTTCTCCTTCCTCTCGAATTCGCTCTAGGGCCATGAGAGAGCGAGCGAAACCCCACTCCTGCTCTCCCCTCCTCTCGTTTACCTCGTTGACGAATTAAATGAAATGCGCATCTATACGAGTGACAGAACGGCTGAGGCAAGGCCAAGACGCTTGGCGGCTCAACCGGAAGTTGACCGCTGGCGTGCTAGTAGCGGTTCCAGCAGTCGGATCGCTGATCGCTGGGGATGTCTCGCAGAATTGAAATGTCATTTTTGGCCTGAATCGGACAGGGCATGGCCAAGGGCTGAGGATTCTGGTGGTCAGTGCCATTCAGAGGGAGGGGGGCAGGGGATTGCGCGATGGCCATATCGCTGAGCCTGGACAGTGCGCGCCGGATGCATGCATGGAAATCGAGAAGAAGGGCAGGAAGAACAAGTCGTCCTGCTGCTCTGCCGTCTGCTGGGATAGGCCGGGCTGGCAGTCGAGACATGGAAAGCAGAAACATGGAGAGAGAGAGCTGCCCTCTATGTGCACACCCCGGAGAGGAAATTGCCAGGCCCGACCCAGGCACAGGCACCTCGAACGGTCAGCAGCAGCACGTTGGCAACCTGTCACTCACTGACTGCACGGCACTAGACGGCAAGGTAGGAGGAGGTAGGGATGATAAACGGTGGTTGCTGGGGTTGTCCCCGTCCGACGAGGCTGCCATGTGGTTCCGATAGGCGTCTCCACTCTGCAAGGCAAATCATGCACCTTGCAGCTGTTTCAGAGAGATCTGGCACTTTATTCTCCTACCGCGTCGCAGCGACTGAAGAGCTCTCAGCCTCCAGAGTCTCCAGAGAAGCTCGACCCTACTATTTCTTGTCTGGGGACGAGCTTCCAGCCATCTCCACCGATCCATTGAGGCAGCACTAACTCTCATTGCTGGAACCCCCAGGCGCCGCGTCTTCGTTCCACCCCGGCTCTGAGGTGTGCTCCCTGTCACCCACCCTCCAAGTTCATGCCATGGATCCCCTGGAGCGGCGGTTAAAAATAAAAGCGAAATCAAAGCAAGCCATCGCGTCTGCTGAAAAGCTTTGGCCAAGATTGAATCTACGGCGCTGTTCGCTGCTCTCCTCCGAGCCCGAGTCGTGGGGCCCTGATACCTTGCATACGTACAAATACCTGCTATCTACAAAAGCATGTGCTGCGCACACCAGAAAGCAAGGGGACCAAGGCAAGAGGAACCTGGCTGGATGGCGGCGCAACGCCTAGGACCGGCCAGCCGGCACTGGGGGGCTGCATGTTGGGTAGATCAGTGCATAACAAGCAGGCCAGGGCTGACCCAAACAAACGCATGCAGCGTGTTCAGCTCGTCCATACCGCCATTTCCCTGTTTGTGACGACGCGCCTCCGGGGAGGGGCCTGGTTACGCAAGCAGACACAGGTTTAGTAGGTAGTGCCCATGTGTGTGAAGACGATGATGATGTGTTGGTGAGAGGGCTGCAGGGCATGTAATCCATGACTTCCACGGCCAACATGATCCGCGCCAGCAGGTCCAATTGGTAGATCCGTATATGTATGCCCCCGTGCGGAATGGGTCATGCACAAGTCTCCATGCGTGCTTTTCCTTCTGGGTAGAGATCTTCCCTTCTTACTGCTGCTATTTTTCGACTCATTCTCGTGGCGCAGGGCCGGCCAACAGACAAGCCTGTGCCTCTAAGCGACACAACTCAGCCATCCAGTCACCGACTTTTTTCTTCCCCAGAATTTCAGATCGAGATGGGGCGCTTCTGGGTATCCTTGTGGAGTAGAGTATATTACGGATATAAAGGTCAAGCTCCGTGAATTAAAATAGAAGTAAACTTCGAAATCTCGATGTATACGCCAGCGGCGGTCTCATGCACTGCCTTCCTGTCTCATCCAAGATGAGGAGCCCAAGGCTTGGGCACGGGCGTATATTCGGATAGGATAGAGTAGACGATTAGAGGAGAGTGCGGTAGGGATAAGCTGTTGTTGCCTGGAACATAGACCCAACTTAAGCACGATGGAGCGAATTCCTCGTAACTTCCAGAAAGGCGGGGAGGGTCAGGGGGGACCGAGTTCATGGGAAGCCAATAAAAATAAAATAAAACAACAAACCGCCTTTGTTCCTTGTTGGCAATGATTTAGCAGAGAAGTAGATACTAGGTAGGGGAGGAGAGGCTCCGCGCACGGGTAGATGGGGTCGCAGCCACGCAAAACATCGATGCTCTTCCCAGGTACAGGGCAGTCTCTGGGCTTTTCTCGCGAGTCAAGTAAGAAACACGCATCACCTCGGCGCCCAGCGAGAGGATCCTGGGTCGAAGCAGGTTCCATATGCATTAGCTGGCACACACACCCTGGCTTCTCCCCCGAGAAGAAAAGAGGCTCTACTCGCACGCAAGGATTCTCCATGAATTCAAGNGGGGATGGCACCATTTCCCATGATCTTCATTGCATACATAATACATGACGGGACTCTCTTACGCAAGGCACATCATGCTACCCAAGGCAGCTATGGAGTCTTGGTGAATCGGCAAACCGTGAAATTAAAACTGGAACCCTTCTTATGGGGGAAGGACCGGGGAGGAGGAAGCGCGGCGTCTTCGGCTGCGTTCCGTGGATGTCACTGCCCACAGCCAGAGGAGAGCGATGTTTCGAAGCTCGGGGACATGGTTCTTTTTTTTTCTTACGTGGGTTGTTAGTTTAATCCGGTGGTATGGTTTAGGGGTCCAGCGGAGTGTTTCAATTTGTTGGCAGTTGTCGCCGTTGGCAACAGCGAAAACGCGGCCGTGTGATGATAGGGGGACTCGGGAACCACATGAGTCTGTTTCGGAGGGAAGAAGGCAGAGAGGAGAAAGTGAGGCGGCTGGATGGGGTCTGGGAAGATGAAAATGTTAAACCGACTTAGGCCGCAGATTGTTGGTGAATGAAACTGAGACAGGCTACGGATATAGCATGCTTCTCTATGAAACAGGCATTTCGGATATACGAGAAACAGATTGGAAACCGGGGTAGATAGCAAGGCAGAGGCGGCTATTAGGAAAAGAAGATCCTGTCAGGAATTTTAACTTTTCCTCGTGGAAGAAATCTCCGGTAGATCTGAAGACATGGGAACCACAGACAAATATGGAGGGAACACCCACGCAGACCAAAACATCTCCTGTAGCAAGTAGAGCAACTCGATTCCCTTCATGTATGATTAACGCCCATTTTCCTAATGTACAGGAACTTTTTGCGAGAGGGTATATCTATTATCAAATCCCGGGTTGGAGGAGATGACGAAGCGCAAAAGACGCGCAAGACGCGCAGCCGGAGGACAATAGTTCGTGGTATGTGACACATCATTTGAGACGTTGAGCATCGCACGAAGCCTCCCTCCATTTCCCAATCATGACCCTATGGCACGTCTACTAATTATCGTTTTCAGAAGGATCTCTAACTTTGTGTTTCGGCCTACAACCGGAAGTGTTCAGTGCGACCAGCCTCTGGCCGACCCGGCAATGATGAGCAAGCCACGCAAGTCACGAGCGAGTGGTCAAGTGATCCCGAGAGGGAGGCAAGACATGGGAAGCGCCTTTATTATTCAAATCGGCAGTGTTTGAGTTCGTCGGAAATTTGTATACCATGTGCTTCTTTAGAATGTTACACATCGAGGACTTCGGACGAAGCTGTTTAGGGTAGTGCAAAAGTCTGGTCACAGTTAGAGATTTGCCCATATGGCTAAACCAGGGCAAGGCCAGCGGTTTTCATTTTGGCATCGAGATCGCTAACCGATATGCTCATCGAAATGACGGGCTGTGAATGTCTCTCATGTGACTTATCAGCTGGTCTTCATGTTGTGCCCCAAGATCACAGAGGTGTTTTGTGTAGCCGATTTTCAACGTACGAGGATAGGAGCACGACGGCTGGCCTCTCACCGGCTGCCACGCCAACAGAATGATATCATCCTACTCTCCCTTTTTCATTGTGGCATGTGATCTCGAAATCTGGCGCATTCATAATGTGCAGTATATTGATTAATGTAGATAGATATGTATGAAGCAGTATGAGCACACAGATGCAATGACTCGCAGCCTTTCATCGAAATGGTTCAGGTTTAGCCTGTATTTCCCGAATAGTTGACTTTGTCCTTGCGTTGTTTTCAAAACTGGCTTCGATCAGGTCCACCACCTCTCCAAGGCTGAAGTACAGGCTCAGTTCACTGTCACACCACAGGTACTTGACCTCGTTCAGGTTGCTCTGCAGCACCTCGCTGAGATACTTTAACCGTAACCAGCTAGGTGCATATTGAGCTGTAGTTGGAACTTCATCGTCCGAAGGCGGTGCGCCGGATGTTCTGCTAGGTAGGAAGAGATCGTCCAGCTCCGTGGCCTTGGCAATTGCCTTTGCGATACTGTATGCTTCCTCCTGACCTATCGAGGGCATCTCCAGCACGTCAGTGATGAGCTTTGTGGCCAAGGCGTCTGCCAATGACCCCACTGCTTGTGACCAGACAGAGCGTGCAAGAATGGGTTCCCAGGTGGCGGCCATGGTCCGAATCCGAGCTGTACCGGACTCGATGGCCGCCTCCCACTCATCCTGTCCTGTCAGGCTCTGAGACCCGCCTATCAAATCTCGTAGGACTGTCTTCTGTACATTCATTTCGTTAGTATAGCTCCTATTGGCAAACGCCTGGAGACTCTTGACGTCGGCTTGGAATGCCAATAGATCTTTGGCTTGAGCCGTCAGGTCATTCCGCTGCTTCCACTCTGCAGAGAAGGTAGAGAGACGTTCAGCGAGATACAGGGCGTCGTTGTAAAGGAACCTATATTTATTAGAGGCCGGACATGGAAAAGAATAAATTAGCCAAGGGGGAAAGGCTCACATATTTCCTCCCCCGTCAAGGTAATAGTAATGGGGAGAGACAGCCCGAAAGAGCGCGAGTGCCATGGTCGGCAGACCAAAGAGCCCAGGAGCAGTTGATGCGACATGACCATATTTCGCCCCGTCCTTAGATAAGGCAGCTGCATCTTCCAAAATTGAAAAGATAAGATCCAGAACAGGTTCTGGCATAGAGGAGATATGGTAGGTTTCCTTGAGAACGAGTTCCCTCGTTTCCTCTGGCGCACTGCCACCCTTTGGCTTTCTAGGAGACTTAGAAGGTTTCTCGGGGGTCTTGGCGGCAACATCTTCCTCACCCCAGCCCCAAGCTTCTGCACTTTCATCTTCATCGTCTGCGCTCGCGTCCTTCTTCGTTTCTTCTGAAAGTTTCTCGCCATCGTCATCATCCCAACCCCATGCCTCAGCGCCATCGTCCTCAGCGCCATCAGCCTCATCATTCGCCTTTGAGTCAGTCGATTTCGGCTCTTGTGTAGCATTGTCGTCTTCGTTGTTCCACTCATCACCCCAGTCACCCCAGTCATTTGTCTCTGCAGTTGCCCCGGCCCCGGTGTTGGCCAGTTCTTTGCCCTCAGATAGGGAGACCATCTGTTTCTCAACCTTTTCTACTGGCTTGGACCCTCCTATTCCCTTCGCGAGACTACTCCGAATTGTGTCAAGAGCCGTTTCCCGGCATTTTCCAAGCCACTTCTCGGGGGCATTATCAACCCAATTTTGTATCTGTTCAAATCCAGAGTATCCATTTTCAACAAGAACTCGGCAAAGACTTGCTGTGTCTTCGATCATTTGCTCAAATTGAGCAAGATGGTCCAATGAGGTTGGGATCGCGGGACTCAGCCAGTCTTGTATCAGCTTCGGAACAAGGTCGCTCATTATAAAGGGGCAGAGGGATTGAAGAAGGTCCTCAGGGAGCTTGCTGGCGAGCAGTGTGAACATCTTCTTCAAGTCAGCAATAAGTGCTTCAATGGAGTGATCAGCTCGCCCATCAAGTTCCATGAGATCGCCCAAGACTTGTATCTTGGGCAGCGAAGCAGCTTGCTTGTTCATGCGTGGCGACACAATAGCAGCATCAATGTTGCGCCAGAGCTGCTCCATTCGCTCAGCGACTTCTTTATAGGCTTTCAGGCCGATAACAGCATCGGCCAAAGTCATTTGATCATCTAGGTGTATTTGGTTAGTCTGTCCAGCAACTCATATCAGCCAACGCTGAAAACCTACCTTGGAGAACATTGTAGATAGCAACTTGACCAGTGGCGATATCTACCTGCACCAACTCTTTCCAGACTCTATCAAAAACTGCGTGGACTTCCGATTTAAGTTCAAAGGACCTGATATCCAACAGTCTCATCACACGGCACGTTTTGCTCACCCCTAACTCATCAATCGCAGCCCATGACTCTGTTCCTTAAGTCAGCAATGCAACTCCTAGGTCCAGCAGAACGTGGAAATGACAAACTTTCTAGGAGGCGCAGAGAGTCGAGAATGCGCCGTTCCTTTGAGGCTTTCTCAACATCACCCAGCAACTGGTTCACATACTGAATCCCCTTAAGAACTCCATATAGCTGTTGCGTGTATTGCACCTCTCGATTGAGAAATTGTGCTTTCTCTTCGGCATCTTCTATGGCCTCTCCTGATGTTTCTGGTGCTTCGGATTGGCGAAGGATCTCGTTGGCGATCGTCTTGGAACGAATAATGTCTTCCTGTAGGCTCTTTGCATTCCTTTCCCAGGAGCTGACCTCCCCTCTTGTCTCTTCATTCACTGTGTGTATCTCTGCCTGTTTAGAACATGTGTAAGATAGAGTTATAGACTAGAGTAGATCCCTCCAGGAACTGGCAGGCCTACCTCAAGCTCGGTCTTGGTCTTCTCTAGAATCTCGATGGCAGGGTCAAGTTCGGTCGTCGACACGGGTGGGAAGGAGGAAATGTCGTCGGGGAAGGTTCCTTCCAAAGCAAAGGCGACCACGGCGTCGCCTAGCTGCTGGGGCTCTGTCATCTCTGGCAGCCCAAGACGAGGTTCTCAGTCTCCGAACAATGGTACGGTGGCCATTCAAGACCAGGCGCGGTGGGGGACGCACGGTATGCGGAGGGTCGGATGCGGCGTATTCGAAGCTGAGTAGAGCAGCTGGCTCACGGGGGCAGGCGTGCGTCGGAGAGTCGGGATATCTGGTGCGTGAGAATAGGGCCCAGCTGTCAATCGATTCATCGAAGAATGAGGCTCCATTCACCAGAGCTCCCTGCCTAAGCTCAGGACAGCCAGCGGTAATGAGGTCACTGCCAGCTTGGCTAGTTTGGTCAATGGCCCTAGCCCACAGCACTGGCCGCCCTTGCACCACTATGAAACGGGAGGTGCTACAGGCATCGCGCCAACACTGCTGGGCTCGTGTCAGCGACCAGGGCCCCGGTGGTGGCCAATCAGCACAGGCCCTTGCCACCCTACTATGCTGCGCAATGACAGCGCCACTAACACCTGGCGCATGAAGCTACAGCAATAGGTTTGCTTTGGGACACCTTGTTCAAAGTTGAATGTGTCTATACCTTACATTGTTCTGGTTCTGGCTGCAAGTGCAGGAGGAAGGAAATTTGAGACTCTCTTAAGCGCTGCCCCCCCATGGCCTGACCTGGCGTTGTTTCCTCCTCTTCTTCAATTTCGATCAAGGTTATCCTGGCTAGACGCTGGCCTAAACACCTTGATACCCAAGACTGGTGTAGGTTAGGTAGGTAGCGTCGTCCCACCGCCTGGCCCTTGCTGACTGCTGATGTGCAGCGGCATCTCTGCTCACACACGAACCAACCCACGCGAACCTGGTTGCCTTGGGCCTGCTCTAAAAAGGCAATCACAGTGCTATATCTCGTGCTCGGTATGTTTTTCTCTTCCAACGCACTCCGCTCCTGCATTATTCTTTCCTTTCCTTCCTCTGGAATCCTACCCTGGCCGCCATCTGGATCAATCTTTCTGCCCCGCGCTCGCTAATGGCGGGGTATCATCCGGGCATCACAACCACCAACGTCAATCGTGCCGTCCATTGTTGAGACATGGCCCCCGGCCTCGCAAGACCAGCCCTCGCGCTGGCTGTGGCAGCTGGCCTGCTAAGCTTTGGCGTTTACTTCTTCATGGGACCATCTGCCCAGCTTCAATTGCACCTGCTTCCATCCTTAGAGTTGTGCTTTCAGTCTGTCCTGCCTCCCCACTGCATTGTTGTTTTCTGTCGTCTCTCTTCGCGCACAACAACACCATGACCCCTGTATCTAAATGCCCATCTTCATTCTGTCTATCTATCGATGTAGATAGTCCAACTCTCTCATGATGATAGCCTCGAAAACCTTTCTTTGGTTGACATCTCCCTGTCTTTCCGTCTCACCCAGTCAATGTTGGTCCCACTAACTAGCTTTTAGGACTATTTTGGCCGCCATTATGCCTGCAGCCAAGACCAAGTCTGGCTTTCGCCAGATCCAGAGCTTCGAGACGGATTATGCGCCTTGCAAAATCACGCAGTATGTTTCTGAGAGGAGTGGTATGCAGGTGGTTGTTGCCGATCGTAAAGGACCCAAAGTCAACGGCTACTTCGCATTAGCCACGGAAATTTTTGACGACTCTGGCGCCCCGCACACCCTTGAGCATCTTGTCTTCATGGGCTCAAAGAGTTTCCAGTACAAGGGTCTCCTCGATAAACTCGCCTCGCGTGCCTACTCATCTACAAATGCATGGACAGCTACGGATCACACTGCCTATACCATTGACACCGCTGGCTGGGATGGATTTGCTCAGATCCTTCCGCTTTACCTGGAGCATATCCTCTTGCCTACCATCACTGATGATGCTGTCACAACCGAAGTCTGGCACATTGATGGTGAAGGCAATGATGCTGGTGTTGTCTACTCGGAAATGCAAGCCGTTCAATTCCAGAGCTCAGAGATAATGGATCTCAAGGCCCGTCGAATCCTGTACCCAGAGAATGTGGGATTCCGATACGAGACTGGTGGTATGACGGAGGCTCTCCGTGTGTTGACCCCCGAGCGCATTCGTCAGTTCCACAAGGATATGTATCAGTCCCGCAACCTTGTTCTTGTGATCGTTGGAGAGACAAATCACGAAGACCTTCTTAAGATTCTCGATGAGTTTGAAGAGAGCATCAAGGACGAAATCCCACCCCTCGATTCTCCTTTTAAGCGGTAAGTTTGAGCTTTTGAGAAAAACTAGCTCTCACTGCAGTTCGCTGATTCTTTCTCTGCAGACCATGGATCGACTCTGCCCAGCCAGAGCCCCTCAAAGAGACTGTCATTACCACAGCTGAATTCCCCGAAGAGGATGAATCTGTTGGTGAGATTCTGGTCGGCTTCTTCGGCCCAGATTGCATGAACATCACTGATATCTCTGCTGTGAGCATCGTTTTGACATATCTCTGCGGCTCATCTGTGTCCATATTGGAAAATATCATGGTGGAGAAGGAGGAGCTTGCTAGCTCTGTCTCATATTGGTGCGACCTTCGTCCTCACAGCGTCATCTGGCTTCAACCTACTGGTGTTGCTACAGAGAAGTTGGAATTTGTCGAGAAGCGGCTTTTTGAACTTCTTAAAGAAGTTGTTTCGAAACCTTTGGATATGAACTACATGAGGGAATGCATCCTCAGGGAGAAGAGGAGAGTCAAGTTCTATGCCGAAATCTCGGAGTCCTACTATGCAACCAATATCATCAATGACTATCTCTTTGGTAAACGAGATGGATCATCTCTCAAGGATATGAAGTCCTTGGACGAGTATGATGCACTTGAGAAGTGGACAGATGATACTTGGCGTGAGTTCATCCGATTCTGGTTCGCTGATGCCAAACACGTTTCGGTCCTCGGAAAGCCATCGCTTGCGCTTGCCGAAAAGATGAAGGCTGAGGAGAAGGCTCGTGTTGAGACGCGCAAGAAGGAACTTGGAGAAGATGGGATAAAGAAACTGGGTGAACGACTTGAGTCGGCAAAGAGCCATAATGATGCGCCGATTCCTCCTGCTGTGCTAGACCAATGGAGTGTCCCGAGTACCGACTCTATTCATTTTATTGAGTCGGACACAGCTCGCTCTGGACACGCCAGGGCCATTGGACTCGGTACTGGCCCCGCACAGAAGTTGATTGACCAGGCACCAGAAGGGAAACTCCCTGTATTCGTCCAATTTGAAGATGTGCCCTCCAACTTTGTGCACATCACCGCCCATATCGGGACTACACAAGTACCGGTCGAGTTGAAGCCTTTGACTACAATGTTCACCGATAACTTTTTCAACACCCCCATCAAACGTGATGGCGAGATTATTGGTTTTGAACAGGTAGTCATGGAGCTTGAGCGTGATACAGTTAGCTATAGTTTGTCTGCTCGTGGATTAGGAGACGCAGGGAGCATGGTTCTGTCAATCTCGGTTGAGCCCGACAAATACAAGGCTGCTATCGATTGGCTGAGAACACTTGCGTTTGACGCTGTCTATGACCCTCAACGGATCAAGGCCGCTATTTCCAAAGCAATTGCCGATATTCCAGAAAACAAGCGCGATGGAAGAGGAATGTCGAACGAGATTGATGCTGCCATTCACCTTGACCACTCGTCCTTACCAGTTGCTAGGCGCACTTTAGTCAAGGCTGTATATCTCAAACGCCTTAAGAAGGTCCTCGAAAAGGAGCCCGAGAAGGTTCTGGGCTGGTTTGACGATCTCCGAAAGTCCCTTTTCACCTTCGAGAACATGCGATTCCTTGTTACCGCTAATGTGGCTTCTCTTCCCGACCCTGTTTCCTCATGGGATGTGCTTTCCGCATCACTCACAGCCAAGGATGAGATGGTACCTATCTCCAAGACATCATCGATGTTGAGCGAAGAAGGAAAGAACCCAGGCTCTGTTGGAGCAATCATTGTACCCATGACCTCCCTTGAGAGCTCATTTACTGTTAGCACTTCGCCGGGACTGCTATCATACTCAGACCCAAGGCTCCCTTCCATCATGGTTGCTATTGCCTACCTTGAGACTGTCGAAGGCCCTCTCTGGAATGCTGTTCGTGGCGCTGGCTACGCATATGGAGTCTTCTTCTCTCGAAGTGTAGACTCGGGTACTTTGACATACAGGGTCTACCGTTCCCCTGATGCTTCCAAGGCTATTATTGCCTCTCGGGACTGCATCCGCAAAATTGCGAATTCCGAGGTCGAGGTCGATAAGCATCTCCTCGAAGGAGCCATCAGTGGAATTGTCACCATGTTCGCCGAAGAACAGTCTACTATGCCTAGTGCAGCCCAACAGAATTTTGTGCAGTCGGTGATTCGCGATCTGCCCACAGACTGGAATAAGGACATTTTGAAGCGTGTCCGCAACGTGACGGTGGACGAAATCAAGAAAATCATGACTGAGATGATATTGCCTTGCTTCGAGCCCGGAAAGAGCAACGTGGTTATTACATGCGCTAAATTGATGGTGGAGGTATGTTTGAGATCTCTAGCGGGTTTGATTTGGAGTGCTATGCTAACTTTTGCTTGTCTAGGGCTTGGAAACGGCTTTCAAGGGAATGGGATACAAGGTTCAGACCCGCGAACTAAGCCACTTCCACGATGATTACGGATTCAAGACTGGTTATGACGACGAAGACGAAGAGGAATCCGAAGAGGAAGAGGAGGGTGAATATGAGGATGGAGATTCCGAAGGCGATTCGGAGGAGGACTAGATGGAATATTTAGATAAAAAGACATCTCAGTCGCGGACGCCTCATCGCGAGAAACGACTACTGGTTCACTGGCGGCGGTTTGGAATGTGCTCGTACACCCTAGGAAAAGGCAATTAGATTAACAAGGAACCGGATAGCACTCATTTTCTTCGGCAGCAAGTGTGTGAACCACGCCCCCTTTATTGTTTTAAAAGTTAGAGAAAATTCCATTGTCTAAAACTTTACCCGATCTGATTGATACCTGTTACCGATTGACACCGAATCGGGTTCGACCTTGCATCCTTGCCTTTCCTGGTCCTTTTGTTTCTTTGAACCCTCCTTTTCGTTAGTTAGTACTCGTCACTCTGGTAATGCCACACTAACACAACAGCATTTAGCTACCAATACATGGTTAATGATTTTACAACTCGTCCTTGCCGCTGGCCTTGACTTCAGCCTCTTCCTTCTTCTCCTTCTCGTTGAGGTCTAAGCCACCGCCCTTGACCATTTCAGTTCCCTTCCAGCCCAGGGCTCGGAGGCGCTCAGTCAGGTGGGGGTGAGTATAGTGGTAAGTAGCATAGACGGGGTCAGCATCGCAAGAGCTGAGGTTCTTGATGTGAGTCTTGAGGAGAGCGCGGGCCATCTCGTCGCGGTAGCCAAGCTTGCAGGCAAACTGATCAGCCTGGAACTCGTGGGTGCGGATGACCCAGTTCATGCCGAGTTTGACAAGCATGTCCAAGGGGGCGAGGGCGTCGTTGAAGAGGAGGAAACCGATGATGATGGGACGTTCGGCGTGGAAGCCAAAGGAGGAGAACAGAGAGGCATTGTCAACGAACAAGGTGAAGAGAGAGAAAATGTAGAGCATGTGAGCCTGTCACCCATAATGAAAGGGAAGAGGTTAGCAACAAGTCGATGAAAGGAGCTGGAGAATTGGGGAGAGGGAGACGGGGGTCTTACCTGAGAAACGCAGAGGGTCTTGGTGGTGTGACCAAGCTGCCAGTGGCCGAGTTCATGTCCAAGAACAGCAAGAATTTCCTTGTCGGTGCAGTCGTCAACCAAAGTGTCAAAGAGGGCAATGTGCTTCTTCCATGGCAGGCCAGCAAGATAGGCGTTGGAGTGGCTGCTGCGCTTGCTTCCATCGATGATGTAGAGGTCGGACAGAGGGTACTTAATACTGGCGGCAAGGTTCTCGACCCCGGTCTTGAGCTCGCCGTCGGGAAGAGGGGTGAGCTTGTTGAACATGGGGACGATGAAGGTGGGGTAGGCGGCGAGCATGAAGATCTGGAGGAAACCGGTGAAGAGGAACAGCCAGAAGAAGAATTGGTTACCGGTCCACTGGATAATGGCGAGGAAAGCGGCGGTAATGGGGGGCAGGAGGACAACGGTGATAAGGTTGGTCTTGACGAGATCGGTAAAGAAGAGGCCAATGGTCTGCTTGTTGAACCCGAACTTCTCCTCGACGACAAAGTGGTAGTAGAGCTGGGAGGGGATGTTCAGGATCTGCTGGAAGAAGAGAATGCTCAAGAGGAAGACAATAGAGTGGCTGATCTCGCCCGTGAAGCGCCCGGGAGCCCATTTAAGAAGCAAATCGCCAGTCAAGGACCAAAGCTTGGGGAAGACGTCGAACTGTATCATTGCGAGATTCTGGACCAGGTCGAGGGCGCCATCGATGACGCTGAACTTGGCCTTGGCGCGGCCATAGGCGCTGGACTTCTCGAAGTTCTCGGGGGTGATTTCTTTGGCGACGACTGCGGGGGGAGCTTTGCGCTGGAGCACGCGATACTGGCGGGAGGTCAGGTAGGTGTCGAAGAGATAGTGGCCGATGTAGAAAGTAGTGATGATGGATTTCCAGGGGAATAATGGCCTGTCCAGAAAACTGGCAATGCGCTGGATGAAGTCCATGATTGCTGCTGGACGTATTACGAGGTTGATGGGGGGAGAGCGGGAAGTGCGCTCGGCCAAGACAGGGCGAGGTGGCCTTAAATTCGTCCTGCAGACAGCTCACAGTCAGCCGGGCCATAATTGCCCGGGTACGCGCCACGCGCCTGCTACCTCTTGGGCTATGACGCTGCTCGAACGCTGCCCGGACGCTGCCAGTGGGTGGGCTGCAGGGCACGACTGCTAAATTAGGTAACACCCATTGGGTGCAGGATGGAATTACTACAGAGGTACTCAGCAATTGAATGGATTCCTCTTTACCTACCTGTGTAGGTACCTAAGTAGTCCTATATTGGCCAAACAGTTTGGGCACCAGTGTTCCCTGCCCTGATTAGACCTGAAAGATGATGCAGCCAACTCGAGTACCAACTAGCGCTACTCGTAGACAGGTACTTATCCCACAGCTTCTGAATGGATTACAGTAATCCTTCAAAGGATTACCCGCATCTACATTTCATACGCTTTGCTTACTTGGCCAAAGTCTCTGTTAAGACTGCCCTTGACCGTCATGGAAACCATTCCCGGAATCGACATTGCAACTTTCTCATCAATCTGATAACATGCACGTGAACCGGCCCTATTGCACGCGCGATGACGGAGCTTTATAAGCTTATTTAGACATGGAGCTGAGTAGAACGAACAGCGAACAACGACGAGCACGATATATCTATAATAATAATAATATATATAGGTGAATACCCTTGGGCAGAGTAGCCAGTGTGTTTAAACAAAGTGCTCCAGCGTGTCAAACCCCTTCCCTAGAGCGAGGCTTGAACATCTGAGGACTGTGTACCTGTACCAGGGTTTTGAGTAGGCTATATCGCTGCCCTGGTAGCAATACCGTGAAGTCGGGTCGGGACATCCCTGATGGAAGACTCCTCCCCAAGTTTTTCTCAAACCCTTGTATAAAGGCTGAGTTCCGACTGAGCTGGTGCAGCTCTTTGTTTATCTGCTCCGGCGAAAGCTCGGTGCGCAGATGCTTCACGACCCAACTGCCCACGGCACCAACCCCATCGACGGTCTCCTAGTGCCCGTTGACGGTAGTGGTGGCCTTGGGCTGCTGTTGGGGTGGCCTCTCAGGTCCATAAGTGACAGGCGGCGCCTGTTCAGTAGGCTGGGTCTCTTCTTCGGTGTCGTCGTCGAACTCACTTAGATCCTCCTCGCCGTCTTCGGAGTAGTCGCTCTCGTCGTCGCCCTCGCCCCCTCCGTGACTGTCAGAGAAACAACTCTCCATCGTGCTGGCCATGCTTTGCGGCACCGACCTGCCTTGCTGCTGCATCGCTTGGATAATGCTCATAAGTTTCTCCGATTTCCTCTCGGCAGCCTCCGTCTTCTTCTTCCACTCCTGGCGTTCCTCGGCCATGCGAATGATATTGGCGGCTGTGGCTTCCTTCTGCCGTTTTAGACTCTCATTCTCCTTCTCAAGTCGTTTGCCCTTCTTCGACATGTCCTCCATTTCCTTCCTGAACGACAGAAACAGGTCGTTGCTGTTATTCAGGGTGTCTTCGACCTGCTGAGGCATTAGTCAGTCAGGACTGCAGGTTCATGGGACGGTCAGCATACCTGTTTGAATTTATCCACGTAAACGTTCAATTGATTTCGAAGCTCATTCTCGGTCTTGGTGAAGGCGTGGACCTGTGATTGGAGATGGCGGGCCTTAGTCGTCTCTGTTTCGGCCCCCTTCTTTTCGCGCTCAGCTCGTGCCATATGATATTGAACTTCGAGTTCCTTCGTTCGCATCAACGAGTGAAAGTGCAGCTCACGGAGTTCGTACTGATCGATGAAGGACTTGAACCGGACACGGAATCTGTCGAAAAATCAGTTTTGCCAGTCTAGAATGAGAGGTTAATGTCGCACTGACAATTCTTCCATCTCCATATCCACGACCTGCTTTTGGGGAGTATCCTTTTCTTCTTGGTACCCCTCCAATTTGGAGAGTAACGTGGCGTACTTCTCGTCCCATGACACCGTATTGCGCTTCTGCGTGGTTTGCAGCTCTTTGTTCTCGTTCTATGAGGGCCGTCGTTAGCACCAATGGCAAGGCACAGGGTGTGCGCACTGTGCTGACCTTCATCTTATTGTTATCCCGCTGGAGCTCTCTGCAAAGCTTCTCTAGCTTTTCTTTGAGGCCGACCGTCTTGCTCAACTCGGTGCGTCCATTGTCCCGCTCCTTCTGCAGATTGTCTCGTTGCCTGCGATTCTTCTGATTCTCCTTCTCCAACCGCCTCATATCTGCCAAGAGCTCGCTCGATCGCTTTGTCAAGTAGTCGATTTTTTGCATATTATCCATTTTCGACACTGTTTGAAGCAGGTCGCGATTTGCTCGTTTTACCTCTCGTTCTGAAAGAGCAGCACGTCAGCACTAAACGCAACGCAGCGCTGCCATCGACAAGGCGTTCGAGGCCCGGTGATATCGACTAACCGATCTCCATCTCCTGGTCCTTCTCCCCGGCGGCATCCTGTTCCAGCTGCGAGATTCGCTGCTGGAGTAGTCGAGTCGCTTCATCGGTGGTGGACTTGGCCGGGGCCTTCTTCGCTTTTCCTGCACCACTCTTCCTATGCGGCACTACAGAGGGAGCCGAAGAATCATCGTGGCCGTTGAGCAGAGCCGATTCGACATGACTGGCAGGCATTGCTGCGACGCTGTAAACCGCTTGCGAGTCACGAGACTAGAACCAGAGTGCAGCCCTAGGGCTACATGGAAAGTAGGGCGGTAGAGGGGTAGTAAAGCGTAAAACGGTGACCAACGGTCCCAGCGTGCCGACTCTGGCCGCGATTGAGGCTCGTCGCAACCGGGATCGAAGTGAATTAAAGCGTTGTGAACCTGGATGACCTCAACATATTAGACTTTCGGTGGCCTATTACGCTGCCATTTGAGCCTCGGTGGCGCCCTGTGTCCTCTTCTTACCGAATCGATCGAGCCCTCGGTGGGTGCCCTGCCTGTGTTACGAGGCTGCAGTTCAAGTATGTATGTGCGACTCGGGGGCCACGGACTTGGGCTGTGGATTCTTGCAGTGCGAGAAGCCGTTCGGTTCCCTACTTTTCTTGTGGTGATGGTGGCCAACGGGAAACGCAGCTGTTAGTGGGTTAGTGTCCACACGCGGCCGAGTGGGTGAGGGTGTGCTACCGTGCTAACTCGAAAGCCCCAGCGGCTAGCTGCTGGGCTTTGGCCTCCACCAGCGATTACTCAGCACCTCTTCTCAAGTCCGGGGATTTTCTGCAGCCTGTAAATCTTGCAGCGTCATCGGCTTTTTTACTGGTCGATGCAGTTTTGGAAGCTAGCTTCCTTCAACTTTGTGTAATTCTTATCAGAACCCTGTTCTCGTGACGTTTTCTTCTTCTTCCACCCCCCTTTGCACCCCCTGGCTACACTTGATGCCGGTTTCTTGAAGCCATGCTTCGAAACACAGCAAACGCGGCTCGCAAAGCCGTGACGGAGCTGGCGCAATACCCCAAGCCTGGTGATTCGCTTCATGGCTTCAAACTCCTTCGCTCCAAACATATTCCGGAACTGGAATTGACTGCTCTGCACCTGCAGCATGAGAAGACGGGTGCCGACTACCTTCACATTGCTCGCGAAGACAGCAACAATGTCTTCTCCATTGGGTTCAAGACCAACCCGCCGGATGATACTGGCATCCCCCATATCCTGGAACACACAACGCTCTGTGGAAGCGAGAAGTAAGTCAACGATCTCTGGTTATGTTGCTTTACGTTACCTTAACCACCATGGCAGATATCCTATTCGGGATCCCTTCTTCAAGATGCTTCCACGAACGCTCTCCAACTTTATGAATGCATTTACTGCGTCTGATCATACATTTTACCCCTTTGCCACAACAAACGCTCAGGATTTCAAGAACCTCATGTCGGTCTATCTCGACTCTACGCTGCACCCGCTGCTTAAGAAGTCCGACTTTACGCAAGAGGGATGGCGCATTGGTCCGGAGAACCCGCTGGCCGAGGACAAGGAAAGCAAGAAGCTCGTATTCAAAGGTGTGGTTTACAATGAAATGAAGGGCCAGATGTCCGATGCTGGCTATCTGTATTACATCCGTTTCCAGGATTATATTTTCCCCGATATCAACAACTCTGGGGGAGACCCGCAGAAGATCACCGACCTTACCTACGAGCAACTGAAGAACTTCCATGCCAAGCACTACCACCCGAGCAACGCCAAAATCTTTAGCTATGGAGACATGCCTTTCGCCGATCACTTGAAAGAAGTCGATACTCGTCTGCAAGCATTTGAAAAAATCCACGTGGATGGAGAGATCCATGAACCTGTCGAGTTGAAGGGACCCAGCGAGGTTACGCTTAACGGGCCGTTGGATCCTTTAGTTGATGCGGATCGCCAGTTCAAGACCTCTGTGTCGTGGATCACCGGAGACACCACTGACGTTGTGGAGTCGTTTTCGGTTGCTCTGCTCTCAACACTGCTCATGGATGGATATGGCTCGCCTCTTTATCGAGGTTTGATTGAAGCTGGAATGGGCGCTGATTGGAGTCCAAATGCCGGATATGATAGCTCCGCGAAGCGTGGCATCTTCTCCATTGGTCTGACTGGTGTGCAGGAGGCAGACGTCCCGAAGCTGAAGGGTAAGGTGCAGGAAATTCTCCGGGAAGTTCGAGACAACGGCTTCGACCAGACAAAGATCGATGGCTCTTTGCACCAACTGGAGTTGTCACTCAAGCACAAGACAGCGAACTTTGGATTTTCCATGCTCAACCGGATCAAGCCCAAATGGTTCAATGGTGTTGACCCCTTTGATTCTCTCGCATGGAGGGACACTGTCACGAGCTTTCAAGAAAAGCTGGCTCAGGGAAAGTATCTCGAGGGACTCATTGACAAGTACTTCCTAAACGACAACACCTTCACTTTCACAATGGCGCCATCTACAACTTTCAGCGAGGAGCTGGTCAAGGAGGAGCAAGACCGTCTGGCCACCAAGATTAACCAAGCGGTGGAGGAGGCTGGCAGCGAAGATAAGGCCCGGGAGAGGTTTGAGAAACAGGAGCAGGATCTGTTGGTGGAGCAGAATAAGACCAACACGGAGGATCTGAGCTGCTTGCCAACCGTCTACGTCAAGGATATTCCACGGTCCAAAGACTCTGCCGTGTTGCGTGATGATGCGGTCGAAAGCGTCCCCATTCAATGGTACGAGGCGCCCACAAACGGCCTCACCTATTTCCGAGCCATCAACACATTGGAAAATCTGCCAGATGATTTGAGGCAGCTGATTCCTCTCTTCACTGACAGCATCATGCGTCTCGGGACCAAGGATATGACAATGGAGCAGTTGGAGGATCTGATCAAGCTAAAGACTGGTGGAATCTCCGTCGGATACCACTCAACACCTTCTCCCACAGATTTCCAGGCTTCCAGTGAAGGGATTATCCTCACTGGTATGGCTTTGGATCGAAACGTCCCCGCCATGTTTGACTTACTAAGGAAGCTTATTGTGGACACCGACTTCGACAGCCCAGAGGCGGCACTGCGAATCAGGCAGCTGCTGCAGGCGTCTGCCGATGGTGTGGTTAACGACATCGCATCGTCTGGGCATCGCTTCGCTATGGGATACGCTGAATCGACACTCGTTCGCAGTGCTTGGCTGAGGCAGCAAGTCTCGGGTTTATCACAGGTGAAACTGATTACCTCCCTAGCTAGTCGGCCCGAGTCGGACCAATTTGAGGACGTCATTGCAAAGCTTAAGCAGATCCAAGGCTTTGCCCTGACGGGCGGGAAACTGCGAACAGCTATTACCTGCGGCGCGGAAAGCTCCAGCAGTAATGCGGCCTCTCTTCAAAAGTTCCTCAGCAGCTTCCCTGGGGGTGCTTGGGCTCCCCCAACACAGACGCCACAGCCACTTCCTCGGGATAGCAAGACTTTCTTCCCTCTTCCATACCAGGTCTACTACGGAGGTCTTTCTATCCCAACCACCTCGTATACCTCAGCAGACGGCGCCCCCTTGCAGATCCTTTCACAGCTTCTCACGCACAAGCATCTTCACCACGAGATCCGCGAAAAGGGTGGCGCTTATGGAGGTGGGGCGTACTCGCGTGCGTTGGATGGTCTCTTCGGTTTCTACTCGTACAGAGACCCGAACCCGCAGAACACGCTCGGCATCATGCGTAATGCAGGACGCTGGGCATCGGAGAAGCAGTGGTCTGACCGTGACATTGAAGAAGCCAAGATCTCCATCTTCCAGAGCGTCGACGCGCCAAAGGCCGTCAACTCAGAAGGCATGGGCAAATTCTTGTCCGGTATCACGAATGAGATGCGACAAACTAAGCGAGAACAACTCCTCGATGTGACGAAGGCGCAGGTCCAAGAGGTAGCAAACAAGTACCTTGTCGAAGCCATTGAAAAGGGAGAGGAGCGGACCGCATTCCTGGGCGAGAAGCAAGATTGGGTTGACGGCAAGTGGATCGTCAAGGAAATGGATGTCAGAGCTGAGTAGGTCTGACAAAGCCACTAATCTGTATTAACGACGCACATATACGATCTACGACATTTAGATGGATATACTTGTATACTATACCAACGAAGCACTCGGCTCACATGTATTAGATATGAACAAAAATGAAGGAGCATGTCAGGATGATGCAGGCATCGCATTTGTGAGGAACTGGGGGGCCGCTTTACACACGCGTTCAGATACGATACATCTCCCTGCCTTTTACACTTTCCGTGGCAGGGAGACCACAGAGCAACGCAAGAATAAAGCCATCAGATGGCGCCTGCATGACCCAATTTCAATCACGCCTGTATGGCCATCATCCTCTCATCTGGCTGAGGAGCTCTTCGGAGCACCAAGCGGATAGGGTTTGAGGGCGCGCGGACGGGGTGGATCTCGGGTGATTTCCTGCAGCGTGCTGTTTGACCTCGCTCTCTCAGAGCCGGTACTCCTTGAGCCTTGGATATCTGGACTAAAGAGCTGAGTACATATTCTAGAAAAAAATAGGCCCGATTTGCTAGGATGTCGTGCTCGTGGTGGCGGTACCTCATCGATATGCGAGAGATACATGGGCAGAGTACCCCGCCTACGTCATAGAAAGTCGAGGTACAGTGGCCAGCATCCAAAAAGACGCTAAGGGCAAGGTCTGGTACGTAGTCTTTACGCGGGCATTTGTATCCTTGGTTCGTCCCTTGAGTACCTACCCAATGCCAGGTCTGCTGCAGGTAAGATTTATGCACCGACGGATCGGATGGCTGTTTGGAGAGTCGTTGATCGCTGTTGCGGCCCACGAATTATGCTTCATGGCGCACATTTACTTCACCGACAGGCGCTACAGGTTGCGATCCATGGACAAGTTGGGAAGCTGGTCGCATGACCATGGGACGTAGAGTTTTGTCTTGCTCATAATGACAGTAATTAAAAAGCGATCTGTTAGCTAAATAATCCTCACTGTTGAGGGTAAAGCGTGCATACGTAACGTGGTGGTGATATATTAGCGGAAAGCTCCAGTAAAACCATTGCTGGACGCAGTGAAGTGGAGCTGCTGCTGCTCGTTGAAAAGGCTGGGAGGATGATTGTCAGTCTTAGTTCCATATCCGGTTTGCGTGCTACGAAACCTAGAGGATGGATGGTATGCTCTCATGCAAGCCAACGGGTGACATTGAAGCTGATACGCCAGGTGTTATCCTTATTCTGGAGTCCGTGGCCGGTATCGCTGCATTATTGACCGCCAATCAGACAACACATTGTCAGTTGTCAAACCAACATCAATTTTTCTGCTCATAACTGCTCTACAATTTGACGGCTCATTTCTACTATCACCTGATGAGACGGCGAGAGGAGGAGGTGAGCAGGACAGGTGAGAGGGAGAGGTGAGGGCAACACGAATACAGGGAACAGGGCAGGGAATAAGCAGTCTGGACCGGGTCCTTTAGCGAGACTAGAGCAGGAGAAAATGGAAAAGGAGTTTCGCCGATTGGGCAGATCTGCCTGGAACACGTCAATCCGCCTGCAGGCTTGCTGCATGACTGACCCGGAGAGGACGAACTCCCGGAGGTTAGTCATTCCTAGCTCCCTCGACATGGTATCGATACAGCACACCACAGACAGAGAATGGAGGATCAACAGGTACTCCATACAATGGCCATCGCGATGCGCGTTGGCTAGGGGTGAGTTGCGGTCTGCAAGAAAAACCACTCAGCACCTCGTCCCGTTGCCCTCGGCATCCTACCCGCTTCGTGCATCGCCCACCCGATGGATGTCCCGCCCCTCCGAAAGGTAACGATCTTCTGGCTCCAAAGTCAATGGGCTTGCATCATTGATCATCAGGGGAGCACAAAGCAGCAGGACCTCACACCGTCTAACAGCTAGGTAAGCTTTCAGACGGCAGGGCTAGTCGCAAGGCTGGGCGGGTCTGAAGGTCCGGTCGGGTCGAAAGAGCGGGCCATATTGGGAACGCGTGAGGTATGTTTGATGTGGCTGGAGCTCGAGGAGGGACGGATGATGATGGATGGGCTGTGTCTGGAAACAGGGCGATGAAAAATTGAGCACGCAAGGTACTGGACTCGTACCTAAAAATGTGGTAGGTTCGTCCGTGGTGGCTGCTTCCTGGTGGAGGGCGGGACATGCGAGGGGTACAGGGTACATGAGACTCGGCGGGTGGTGCATGCAAATGCATGTACCGGGCACACTACCCCAGTCACTCGGCGAAAAATTTCAGAAGCTTTTAGCTCCTCTTGCCCAGGAAGGAGCAGGAGAGCACCGGGACAGGTCTAGGTAGTAAATAAAAGGCTGCTCATGCCCCCCTCCGTCCACCGCCAACCGCCCGCCCACAGCGTTTTATCACCCTGATACAAGCAAAATCCAAACCAACTGTTACAGCCAATTCATCCGATCAACTGCTCTGTCCAACGAGCAGTCTCCAGCCCGCCGCAACTCCGCCTACGAGTTGCGAATCGCTTTCCAACCGCTCCCACACAGCTCTGTGCTTCATCACACGGTACGTGAGCCTTTGCCGCCTGTTTGCCACTCGACATGCCACATGAGCCGCCGTCACCTCATCTGCTTCCTGCTGGTGTCTCTCGCATCGCTGGTAATACCTTGGTGCTTGGTGGAGAGACGAGAGTGTGATCATCAGCCGGGGCTGAGGCCATATAAAACCTCGGAGGCCTCATGTGGCTCGTCTTGCTATATTGCTATATTCTCGGTGACGTGACGAACATCACTTGCTGACTGGGTCCACAGAGCTCCCTATCCACCTCTCCCGACTGCCTTTGGTCGTCTCAAAGGCACCGCCGTCATCACGGTTCTCGTCAGTGACAAAGATTTCAGCCTGCTCAAGCCCTCACACATCATCAACGCCATTCCTCCTCCCGCACTCGCTGCTGAGGTCTTCTAAGCTCGTCGAATATCTTCTCTTAACCGGCGACGGCTCGTGCCACCGACCACCACCGTACCTTTTGTTTCCCCAACCATCTCAGCTGCCGCATAGGAGGGAACCTGTGTCTCTTCCTCTCGCTGAGGAAGAGTCGAGGAGGCCTCGCCAATCCATTGAGGGGACTGTCTGCTACTGCTTTCGACCACCCTAACACTTGCGAATAACCAAGTGCCCGAACCCAACTTTTTGTCTCATTAACAACACTCTTCTGTGTTGTTGTGCTGCTACTTCGAATCAGCTTTCTTAGTAGAGGTCGAACCAGTCGTCCCCCTTTGAACACCACCCCTTCAAACCTTCTCTCGCCTAGTCTTCGCCCGAAAAGCCTAGGATATGGTGTTGGCAACTGCTACTCTTGATTATCATCATGTACAAACAAACAATCATTTGTTTGTGAAGAAACCTCATCTTATCGATGAAACTCTTCACTTTCATCAGGAAAATGATGCTATCGACCCCAAGCAGTTGATTGGTGAGGCTCTCCACCAGCGGGTGGAAGCTGTGGACCATGAAATGTGTGATCCTGGCGATGAGGATACCTTCTATGTCGCGGATCTAGGAGATGTCTATCGCCAGCATCTTCGCTGGAAGAAGAATCTTCCTCGCGTTAGGCCATTCTATGGTGAGCATACTCAAATGACCATATTTTCGTTTCCTCGATTGCTGACCAACCATTATTGCAGCCGTCAAGTGCAACCCCGACCGCAAGGTCATCAAGCTTCTCTCGGCACTTGGCACTGGCTTTGACTGCGCCTCCAAGACGGAGATTGAGCTGGCTCTTTCGATGGGTGTCAAGCCCGAGAGCATCATCTACGCCCAGCCCTGCAAGACGAACTCTTATGTTCGTTACGTCAAGTCTGCTGGCGTCAAGCAGATGACTTTTGACAACGCCGATGAGCTCTACAAGATTGCCAAGCTCTTCCCCGATGCGGAGCTCTTCCTCCGCATCATGACTGATGACGAATCCAGCCTGTGCCGTCTCAGCATGAAGTTTGGTGCCGCCATGGATACTACCGAGAGCCTCCTTGCTCTCGCCAAGAGCCTCGGCCTCAATGTTGTTGGCGTCAGCTTTCACGTTGGATCTGGCGCTTCGGACCCCATGGCCTTCTTCAAGGCTGTCCGTGACGCCCACAACGTCTTCCAGAAGGCTCGCGAATACGGCTTCATTCTCCGAACCCTGGATGTCGGAGGTGGTTTCTGTGGTGACACCTTCGAGGCCATGGCCGCCGTTCTTGACAGCGCGCTAAACGAGTTTTTCCCTCCTCACAGCGATGTCAACATCATTGCGGAGCCCGGGCGATTCTACGTGTACTCTGCCTTTACCATTGCGTGCAACATCATTGCTCGCCGCACCGTCGAGGATCCTACTCTCGATGGTAAGGGCTACATGGTGTACGTCAATGATGGCGTCTACGGAAACTTCTCGAGCATCATGTTCGATCACCAGAACCCCGTTGCCAAGATTTTGCGCACCGGTGGCCGCACTCTATACAACACACCCTATGCCAACTCTGTTCCAGCTGGCGAGGGCGTCGAGTATTCTGTCTGGGGCCCAACCTGTGACGGCATCGACCGCATCGCGGAGAGCATTCGCTTCGACCCCGTCTTGGACGTAGGCGACTGGCTCTACTTTGAGGATATGGGTGCCTACACCAAGTGCTCAGCCACCCAGTTCAATGGCTTTTCCAACTCGCACGATGTCATCTACGTGTGCAGCGAGCCTGGTGCCAAGGCTCTTCTCGAGCTGTAAGACGAGTCGTACGTCTTGTTACGCGAGATGGCTCTTGGATATTTCCTTTGCAACATAGATATCGATTCCAATAGGTAGATGGAGGACACTGGTTTGTTTCTCTGATGCATTCCGAGAACCAACCAGGTTAGAAAATATAAAAGCGGTTGTATGAAGTCGTCATCGCTCCCTCGTTCTCCATCCACATGTGAATAGCGCTCGCTCATCCGCGCTCTGAACCGTCAACGAGCATCCCACTCGTCATATCTTATCCTCCATATCTCGCATCACTACTCTAACCTCTTCTGGCGTCGTATTTTCCCCAACTTACTTGTTATTCCCCCATGCTAAGCTAACCCCACATTACGTTGAAACACCGCAAAACCGAAGGCGTGCAGGGCGACTACAACGGCAGCTGGGACGAAGCGCTCGAATCAAGGGGACGAGCCTGGCTCGCCTCCTCGCCAACTTCTCCACATATGAGGGTAAACAAGGATGGCGAACAAGCACCTCACGCCCAAAATCAACAGAGCGGTCCGTCCTTATTAACCTGCATGCGGGCGGGTGGGTAAGTCCTGAGCCAAAGCTGGGGAACTAAGCATCGTACAAGCAGGAACACAAGTATGCGCACGAATCGACTAGCGGCGCGTAGCTATGTGTCGCATAAGAACAGCCCGTTGGGCCCGGGCTTTCCAGATCGACGCTGTGACCTCCTGGATTTGGAGGGCGAGCTTATCCGGGGCGGAGAACTGCCGAGCACTTCTGCCGGCGGGAGGTGCACGTTCCTGAATGATTTTGGAAGCGGCGCGATATGAATGGACAGCGGCTTTCTTTCGTGGAGATGAGAGAGAGTGGAAAACGGTAAGCCAATTGGAAAGTATGAGCTCATGGGATGCACTGAGGCCTGGCTATAAGGAGGGCAAGGGCCGTCATGTTGTTTTCCAGCGTGTTTACCCAGAAGCTTGAGGACTTCCCTTATATCCAGTAGCCATGAAGTCGTTCGCATTGGCTGCTCTGGCCAGCCAGATCCTGCCAGTGTTTGGCTTTGAGATCAAGGTCGGGGCCTCAGGTGGGAATGCCACCAGTGGCCACCAATACGGTTTTCTTCACGAAGTAATCTTTAACTCTTCTCGTCAATGGTTCAAGCCAATTACTGACAAGGACTTGTGTTTCAGGACATCAACAACTCCGGTGAAGGGGGGATCTACGCCGAGCTGATCCGCAACCGAGCCTTCCAATACAGCGACAAGTTCCCGGTCTCCCTCGACGCCTGGCACTCTTTCAACAACGCCAACCTAGCCCTCAACCGCCTGGACACGCCCCTGTCCAAGGCCCTCCCAGTCTCCGTGACCGTTTCCCCCGGCAGCAACTCCTCCGGGGCTGCGGGCCTCTTCAACGACGGGTTCTGGGGCATCGACGTCCGCCAGCAGGCCTACACAGGGACGTTCTGGGTCTACGGCGCGTACGAGGGGGTCTTCACCGCGGAGCTGCGGAGCGCCCTCGAGGACGACAAGGTCTTTGGTAGCGTCGAGGTCGAGAGCAAAGCCACGGCGGGCGAGTGGGTTGAGCACACCTTTGAGCTGATCCCCGGCGAGGATGCGCCGAATAGCAACAACACGTTCGCACTGCTCTTCGACCCTGCCGGTCTCGCCGAGGGAGAGGAGTCGCTCGACTTCAACCTCATCAGCTTGTTCCCGCCGACGTATAAGGGCAGGAAGAATGGTCTGAGAATTGACATTGCGGAAGCGCTTGAGGGGCTTCATCCGGTGAGTTCTCAACCAATTGGCTAACAGCCAGCTCAAGTGGTTTTATGATGCAGCAAGGCATATTTCCAATGAGTAGCTAACATGAGTTATTCTGTAGTCGATGCTGCGATTCCCCGGCGGTAACATGCTCGAGGGTCTGACCAACACTACATACTGGGATTGGAAAGACACCCTTGGCCCTCTGAAAGACCGCCCAGGTTTCCAGGGTGTCTGGGGCTACCAGCAAACCCACGGGCTCGGTATTATGGAATATCTTGAGTGGGCAGAAGACATGAATCTTGAAATCGGTTAGTAGTCCACGCTAATAGCTCCCTGGAACCCCAATGGCAAACTGACAAGCGTGTTATTCCTGTAGTTGTGGGAGTCTGGGCAGGACTGGCACTCGACGGTGGCCTAACCTCCGAAGAAGACTTCCAGGCCGTGATTGACGATGGACTCAACGAGATTGAATTCATCTGCGGCTCGGTCGACACCAAATGGGGCGCCGTGCGCGCCGAGCTGGGCCATCCTGAACCCTTCCCTCTTCGATATGTCGAGATCGGCAACGAGGACTGGCTCGCAGGATTCCCGGCCGGATGGGACTCATACAAGGCGTACCGCTTCCCTCTATTCCTCAAGGCCATCAACGAGGCCTACCCCGACATCGTCGTCATCTCCTCGGGCTCAACCCACGACGGGTACAAACCTATTCCCAGCCCAGGCATCGGTGACTATCACCCATACCGCACCCCCAACGCCCTCGTCGACGAGTTCGACCTCTTCGACAACGACTCCGGCCACATCGTCGGCGAGGTCGCGGCCACCCATCCCAACGGCGGCACGGGCTGGAGCGGCAACCTCATGCCCTTCCCCTGGTGGATCGGCACCGTCGGCGAGGCCGTCTCCCTCATCGGCTACGAGCGCAACGCCGACCGTATCCCCGCCACCTTCTACGCCCCCGTCCTCCGCAACATGAACCGCTGGCAGTGGGCCGTCACCATCGTCCAGTTCGCCGCCGACCCCCGGCTGACCACCCGCTCCACCTCGTGGTACGTCTGGGAGCTCTTCGCCGCCCACCCCATGACGCACACGCTCCCGGCCGAGGGCGAGTTCGGTCCCCTGTATTATGTCTCGGGCACCAACGAGGACAAGGGCTCGTACATCTGGAAGGGCGCCGTGTACAACACGACCAACCACGAGAACGTGTCTGTTTCTGTCTCGTTTGAGGGCGTCCAGGCGGGGACCCAGGCGCAGCTGACCGTTCTGACCAACCCGGGGGGTGACCCTTTTGCCTACAATGACCCCCATACTGGAGTCAACATTGTTTCAAAGGACACTGTAGTCTTGAGCGCGGGAGATGGCGGGGCCTTCGAGTTCCAGCTGCCGGAGCTGAGTGTAGCTGTCCTCGATACGGAGAAGAAAGAGAAGTAGAGAGTAGATACGCAGGCCTAGTTCCACAGTCGCCATACAAGCAGATACAATAGCACGCATTTGACATTACAACAAGTAACAAGTGAATTTTTCTCTTTAATCGTCTCTAGAAACTTTTGCAAACGAAAGACCGGGGCCGCTCAGTGAACCCCCTCCCCTAACGCCTCCATAGCAATCCCTGAGGCTTCGAAACCTTGAGCTTCTCTCTAAACCTGCCATGTACCTTCTCACTCCATACATTAAAATCATAGTAAACCCGATCATAAAACAGATGGCCACTGGTCCAACTAAAGCTGGGGTAGAACAGTTAGTATGTGTCCTTCATGATGACACAAAGGACAAAAAGTACATCCGAATCTCGACACCCTCGAAAGGGACATTTAAGACCCCCTGAACAGAAACTGCATATCCTGTGGTGTAAGGGACTCCAAAGCTTTGTCATCCGAGTTGACGGTTGAGTGAATCATGCTTGTCTTCTTCTCTTGAATCAACACCATTCGGCTTTCTACTGAATCTTCGATGCAGAGTCTTGTGATGTGACAAGGCCGAGCTTGGCCAATTCGATGGCATCGGTCGGCTGATTGCCATTCTGCCGCAGGATTCCACCACCTAGAGAATGATTAGAACAAAGAATTGACAGGTTCAAGGGCGAGGATAAAGTACTTACGGATCAACGATGAAAACACGGGAAGCTTCGGTCAGATTCAGAGCGACACCTCCAGCCTTGAGAGAAACCAAGAAACATTCAACATCCACATTGTTCATAAAATGTTCAATCGAGGCCTGACGCTGGGCAGGCGTCATGCTGCCGTCCAGCATAACTGTTGTGATACCAGCTCGGCGAAGGCGCCATTCAATAAGCTGTAACATGGTAGTAAATTGCGAGAAAATGATGGACTTATGGGTCGCATTGTCAGAACGTAGCTTGTGGAGTTCATGAACAAGCAGTTCAATCTTGGAAGACGAGGTCCAGTTTTCCATCTTGATACGATTGATAATGGAATTCTTCTTCACAAGAGCTTCGTCCTGTTCGATCTCGGGTTGCTCAAGGTCGATAGTCAGGGGAATATGACAGCGTGGACAGTCAGGCACGTCGGTAGAATGGACGTAGCTTGTCACGCAAGCTCGGCAAAAGTCATGCTTGCACTGGCTGCGGATGGTATCCTCGGATGGCTCGTCGCAAATGCAGCAAACAAGTACGTTCTGGCCCCCCTCGCCATTCTTCTTCAGGATCAAATCCGGGTGATCGGCAACCTGGCGCATCTGCATAATCAGTCCAAAAATGTTGGCATAGTTATTCAGAAGAACACCTTGCGCCACGTATGTATCAAACTTGCGCTGGCCGCTTGTCATGATACTATTGGCAAAATCATTCTCTTCCTCGCCAAAGAATTGGCGGTCGACATAGATCTCCTTAACAGGCAACTCCATAGAGTTTGTGTGGTCTTTCTTGAGCCGACGCAACATAATTCGATCAGTCATTAGTCGTAGCTTTCCGAGAGCGATGCGACCGGGGCCCAAGTTTCCAAACTTTTGAATAGGATTCAGCAATTCCTGGTTGAAAACAGACACGTGTTGCATAGCCGCGTGATTGCACTGAGAGCAGCGCTTGTCTTCATCCATATTCCATTCCAGAGTCGAGCATGGACATTGCTTACAAAGATAGGATGCGAAGGGGGCAATGTTGAGGAAACGCACAAGAGAGAAAAACTCGCCGATGCGATTCTGGAGAGGGGTTCCTGTCAAGCACCATCGATAATCGGCCTTGAGAGCAAAGCATGCCTTGGCGGTCATGGTGCTCCTTGTCTTGATACTGTGTGCCTCATCAAGGATGACTCGATGGAACTGGACTGCGTGGATGATACTCTTCTCGAAGTGCATACCGTCCTTGCGTTTAAACCCCTTCTCTTGCTTCCGGTACATGGATTCCAAACTGTTGTAAGACATCATGATAACATCGTACTTCTTCACTTCTTTGACAGTCATTCCCTTTGACTTCTGGTTAGTGCCGTGGAAAACAAAAGTCTTGAGTGTTCCATCAGTGTACGACTGGATTTCCGATTGCCATTGCATGAGAGCAACAGGCGGGACAAGCACCAAAGATGGCTGCTTGGCAGGGTAATCCGACATGATGAGGGAAACTGCCTGGATTGTTTTGCCAAGTCCCATCTCATCACCCAGGAGACCACCTTTCCATTTATGTTGTTCCATTGCTTTCATCCAAGCAAGCCCCTCAAGCTGAAATGGCTTCAGCTGTCGGGAGATTGTTGTGGGCTGTGGCGCTTTTCCAGCTTTCAGAATAGGCATATCCTCAAGAACCTCCCACATTGTTAACAGCTCCGGGTGGTGTTTCTCGAGACGGCTGCGTTCTTTCTTAACCCGCCCTCGGTTCTCTGGTCGTCTATAGGCCCGACGCTGCTCTGTGATCCTCGCAAGTGGTACCTCCTCTTCGTCCTCTTCACTAACAAGGTTCGAACTGAAAGACAAGCTTGGCTCAGAAGGAGTGGGTTCGTCCGCTTCAGAATCCTCAACTACAATGTCAACATCATTGCTTTGGGTGGTTCTCTCGGTAGGGGCAGTTCCCGATCCCCGGGACTTTCGATTGTTACTTCTCGCTGTTGCTCTTACCGAGGATTTGGGCTGCGCTCGAGGCAAAGCGGCAAAATCATCATCTTCATCGGCGTCATCATACTCCTCTTCATCCTCCTCATCTTCAGTGTAGTCTTCAGTATCGCCATCATTCTCGACGGTGGATAATGCGCCAGCATCGTTCATCTCATAGTCTAGACCACGAGCAAGCTCTTCATCTACATCAAGCTGATCCTCAGAATCGGATATGACAAGTTTAGCTCTTTTGGAAGACCGGCTCGCCCTAGTTGCCGCATCCGTAGGAGCCCTTCCACGCTTGGGGCCAGCCTGGTTTGATTGGCCAAGGACTGGCGGAACATTCGATGATCGGCGGGTAGACCGAGGGTTCGAGGGGGGGAGAGTTTTAGCGTTCTCTTCCCTCTGTAGTCGGCGAGCAACCTGAGCATCAGGGGAATTGTCTGAAAATCCCTCCTCATCTTCATCACTGTCTCCAATCTCAGACTTCCTATTTCGAGCATTGGAGACCATGGAGAATTTGCTTGACCGAAGGGCTCGTTCCCGATTCGCCCCGTCTGGTCTCCCATTACGAGTCGGAATTTCAACAACCATTGATGATGATGAGCCTGATTTGACTGCTGGAGCATACAAATCTGTGGCGAGGGGGGTTGGGAGGTTGCTTGTTGGCGGAGTAGAAAGATCATCCTCCGAAGATGCATTCAGAGGGGTAGGGGCTGAAGAAAGAGACACACTCGTAGCGGTGGTAGACTTTCTAGGTCTGCCGGACCGCCGAGCAGGTGCTGGAACGTCATCCATGAAAGACGATGAGGTAGAGTTAGTCATACTTTCGACGAGTAACGACTTCCTAGGTCGTCCCCTTGGCTTCTTGGAGGTGACAGAATCACCTGCATCAGAGCCAACGACATCTGAGTCGTTCGGCTGAGGGGTGGCTGACAAATTTCTAGATGACGCAGAGCGAGTGAGACGGCCGCCGCTTGAGACGGCTGGCTCTATCGAATCTATCAAGCGCATTAATAAGAAACATCCAAAAATGCGAAAAATATAAAAGGATCATCTCATACCATGTCTACTGGAAGACGGGGTGCCGTTAGAACGCAACGAAGACCGACGCATGATGAAAAGTCGTGGCGAAAAGGCTGCAAAGTGCTGGTCATAAAATGCAGGCGGAGGCCCAGTATGAGTTGAGGACGGGCGGGAAGTAAGAGTCCAGGCCGTGAAGATTCAAGAGAAAATTACAAGTATCTGCACTGGCCAAGGCTTCAACGAAATGCAGACTGCGGATTTGAGATGAAACTAAGGACAATTTGGGGGATATCGAAGAAGCACGATTCCCTGCTTGGCCGGCAGCGAAGATAAAGGGAAAGCAGTGGCAAATGAAGGCCTGGGGCCGGGAGATGCTTCTTCCACGAACTGGCTCCCTTAAATAAGGGGCATTGTAGAGGAAAAAGTTTCCAGGCCGGAAAAAAATGAGCAGGTTACAAAGGCCAGTCTTCCGAGTTTCCCACGTTGAGGAAGGAGGCACTGGCAAAAGAAAGTTGGACGGGCAAGCGCAGGGCGCCACCCAATGTCACTTTTGACGCACTGTGCTCTGGATCTCCAGTACTTAGTCTCAGCGACAAGGCCGCCAGTGCATCCCTTGTGGCAATCGCCGTGTCACATCAAAGCCCCGACATGCTCGTGGGACAGCCCGCTTGTCAATTTCTATTCGAGAACTCTGCACGATATCATAATCCAATTCACGTACAAACGCTGCTTCATGACAATCGGTGAAGTCGTGATAAGCACTCGAAGACTCTCGGCCGTGAACATGTACCGTGTGCACCGCTCCACAGTACGGCAAATGCGAGTCAGTATAAGGCTAGCACGTTCGCCCGCGTCCCCCTTTACGCGAGAGCACGTGAAGCCAGCTGGGGGATCAATCAGGGGCTTGTCTTAGACTCGCAAACTCAGTTTGCCACTCTATTTCTCCCTGTGAAGTCACATGACGCCGCGTTAGGTCCGCGATCGAAATTCTCCCTCCCAATCGACACGCGCCACCACCCACCCTACATCACTTCCATTCTTGTCGAGTGGTTCAGCCTGATCTTGAAATTCTTCTCAAGTTAACAATCCAAAGACCAGTCGAGCGATACTCCCTCTGGCCACAAGATGTATGTGCTTTGTTGGATGCATGTCAGATGATGGTAGATGGCTGATTTCTTCAAAGGGTTCGAGCTCGTCGAAATGGCACCAATGGTGCTGCCAATGGCCAAAACCAGGATGCGAACCAACCGCCTACTCGAAATATCACAGGGCCGTAAGTTGCCAGTTTCCCCTGGAACCTAAATTATATGCATGCTGACTGAAATACGCTTTCAGACAATCGGCCCTCACAGATTTTTTGGCTGTAAGCGAAAATGACCATGTCCAGATCTGTTGTTATCTGCTGTTCGGGAGCCTAACAATATTCTAGTCGCATAACATCTCAGCCAGACAAATTCGAGATGAGGCAGATCAGAGACGCCAGGCTGCAGCAGCGCAGTCGGAAGACAGCACCTCAGCTGCTCCTGGCGACTCCACTCCAGTTGAAGCTGAATCATCGAGGGCCTCTCGCCAGCGCTCTCGTGCCGGGACGTCTGAGAATGGTGTTCCGGATAAGAAAAAGAAGGAACAGGCCAAGACGATTGCGAAAATCAAGGAAAGCAAAGCGTTCAAGAAGCGCAAGCGAGATGCCGGAGTTGACTCAGATGACGATGATGATATTGCCCGCGCCATCTTCAATGAACGGCATGCACCACTCCCGGGACAGATGGATAACTGCGAGATTTGCACTAAGAGATTTACCGTAACTCCATACTCGGTTGCAGGGCCCAACGGTGGCCTTCTCTGCGCCCCTTGTGGCCGTCAAATTGCGAAAGAGCGCCAAGGAATGCAGCCAAAGAAAAAGGCGCCTAGGAAGCAGACAGGCGGTATCGGCTCTCGCCGGGCTCACCAGAGCCGGATCCTCGATGGTGATATCGGTACAAAGAGTTTGGCAACTCTTTGCGTGCAGACACTTGCCAAGAATGTAGATCTGGCGGATAGTCTGGGCGACCTTCCTCCACATCTCATTGACAAAATTGCACGCATCTTCTCAAAGAGAAGGTTGCTTAGAGCAGAGACGCTGCCTTTATTCGTGCAGCCCAACACTGAGGTGCTGCACATCTATGATGGTGCTAAGATTAGCGAGCAGGATCTACTTGGAATTTTCCAGGTTGCAACAAAGCTGCGGCGATTCAAAGCCCGGTACATGGTTCAGTTCAAGGACGAGGTCATGGACTATGTCCTCTCGCGAGATATCAAGTTGGAGAGCTTCTACCTGAGCGGCGCCAATCTTCTGAGCGACGAAAAATGGCACGAGTTCATCGACGCTCAGGGCGAGTGCCTCAAGGCGTTACAGGTCTACTATACCGACAAGCACTTCGGGGATGATACCGTGGACGTCATCGCTAAGAATTGCCCAAGCATCGAACGGCTAAAGATCGAGCACAATCAAAAGCTTACAGATGAGGGTGTCAAAGGACTTGCCAATATCCCCTCGCTGCTGCATCTCGGCCTGCAACTGCAGCACAGCATCTCGCCCGAGGCCATCACACCCGTGTTGTCCAGCATCGGACAGAAACTTGAAACATTTTCGCTGACTATCGTCCCCAAAGCCGACGACAGTGTCTTGCAGAGTCTGCATGATAACTGCCGGTCCCTTGTCAAGCTGCGCATTACCGAGAGCGAGGTGATGACCGACGCGGGATTCGCGAAGCTCTTCACGAACTGGGAAAATCCACCCCTGCGGATCCTCGATCTCCAGAAGTGCCGGTATGTGAGTGCGCAGCAACCCCGCCATAATGCCCACAACGTCGGGCTTTGTGACGAGGGGTTCAAGGCACTGATGGCGCACTCCGGCGCAAAACTCCGAGACCTCAATGTCCACGCCTGTCGCAACATCACCGGCGAAGCGTTCGAGGAGGTCTTCAGCAAGGATGCCCTCTACCCTGAGATGAGACATTTGGAGATCAGCTTCTGCGAGGAGGTCACCGACTTCATCGTCGGCTCCATCTTCCGATCCTGTCCCAACATCAAAGAAGTCAACGTCTTTGGATGCATGAAGGTCAGGGATGTCAGAGTCCCTCGCGGGGTCATCCTAGTCGGGGTGCCCAATGCTCAAGGCATGGTCACTGAAGGATTCGACTAGCTCCTCCACTCAGAAAGGAGCGGGGATCTCTACTGAAAGAGTCAGCCATCTTCGTACGCAAATGGTACTTTTTGATCATGCCTTTTTCCTGTTACGACGATACGATATTCTTAATATAGGCAGGTGCTTTGTCTCATGCAGGTTCGCAGGGCTGTTGCACTAGGGCACCGCTTTCTTTGTAATTGTTTTGTTATTTTGTTCTATATACAATGGCTGTTCCATTAGGTAGTTGACCAAAATATGTCCCGCTTCATGATGCTGACCATCTATATACAGTGAACCGAACACTATGTCATAAAACATTTCGTAAGTCATCGCTCAAGCTCTCTACGCGGAGGCGGTGATGTTCCTATCCGCCTCGGCCCAGGCATTGAGCTGGGCTACGAGAGCGTCGTCGTCATTCGCCAAGTCTCCCTCGACCTGTACGCTGACCACATCCACGTCGTCCACGTCCCGGAGGCCGAAGCTGATGCAGCCAGAGAGGATCTTGTTGAAGTAGCTGAGGTGGGTGGCGATGCTGCTGATGTCGATGATGTTCTGGCTGCCGTTGCAGCCCGTGTTGGCGTTGCCGGCGCAGACCTTGACGGTGCCCACGTCGTACTGGCCGGTGCTGCTCGACTTGGACAGCCAGTACTCCGGCGAGACGTGGCGGTACCCGAACAGCTTGGGGGGCAGGCGGGGCACGGGGTCGTTGGTCTGCGTGACGCGGTAGACGGCGCCCGGCTGGCCCGAGATGAAGTCGCTGAGCTCGGCGTTGCCAATGCGCGGGGCGCCATAAGTATAAATGTCGACGCTGTGGCCGGCGTTGCGCAGGTAGGCGGCGCCGAGCGTGGCGACGGCGCCGCCCAGGGAGTGGCCCACGGCGACGACCTTGTAGCCGGCGTTCTTAGAGGCCGTCTCCTTGACCTGGGCCAGCACGGCGGCGGAGATCTCCAGCCAGGCCTTGTTGAAGCCGTCGTGGACCTTGGCGTTCCTCGCGAGGTCCAGGCTCTTAAAGTCGAAGTCCAGGTTGGCGATCCAGTTGCGGATGTTGGCGCTGCCGCGGACGGAGAAGACAATCTCCTTTCGGACATCGTCGATGGCAGTGTAGCCAGAGATGCCAGTGGCCTTGCCGCTAATCAACAACGTCAGAGTCTGCAATAGATATGGTGTTGTCGATCGGGGACTTACTCATAGGTTCCCAGAATCTTTACAGAATTCTTCTGTACATTGTTGCAAGTGCCAGAGCAAGTAACAGCTGTGCCGGCAGCCTTCCCAGCGTTGCAGTAGGCAGCTGAGGCATGTTCGACATAGTAGTCGAATGTATTCAGTGTAGACTGAGTGACATCGGCTGTAAGTGGGAATTATTAGTTAACTACAACACCACAACATGGGATAACATTTATGGGATAGTCATACCTCGTCTGTAAAGGCTCAGGGGATCAGATCCCGGGATAGGACTGGCAGCAGCCAATGCCACGAGGGAGAGGATAGAGAGTCCCAGCATCGTTGCGTGTGTATCCTGGTGTTGACACGAAGGGTAAACAAGAAGAGTGTCTTCAAGGTCTGAGCTGAACCTCTAGCTGCGCGTGACCAGCAGACGAAGGGGAAGGACCAAAGGAGCAGAGCTGCCAAGAAATTGATCAGGCTGGCTTGATCTTCTGTGTGAAGGAGGAGGTGGGCGGCAAGAGTAATTATACCTACGAGAGCTACTTGACGATCGCCATAGCGGGAAGGGTAGCTCCCATGCACCCAAGACATTGCCCGCTTCTAATTAACACCTTCCGACAAGGTAATTTGGGGCTAGAAACAGGCTAATTATATGCATCACCTGAAGTTCGCATGCAAAGGGTCTACTCCACCAGCCGGTATTCCAGAAAGACAGCCCATATCCGAAGGGAGAGGCGGCAGGTATGTCAGCTGGGACACTCAGCTCACTCAGGAACCGTGCCATCCCCTCCCGCCGCTTTCTGACCCATCTCCCCCAACGACATTATCGAGCTGGAAAGGCATGATCCCAACATGGCCTGGGTATGGGATCAAACCAGAGTTCCAAGTCACGGCAGACCGGGGGCGAGATTTGGCATAGTTGGACATGGAAGATGCCGAAGGGATTGTGGGAAAAGCCCATCCCAGAGCAGATGCCGCGGACCTTGCTGAGCCGTCGACCAGTTCCAGAGAGGAATAGAGAGCGGCGGTCGGTGAGACAAGAGCAACAGGGGTGCTGATGAGTTCCAGTTCCACGTCGTCAGCCTGCAGAGGGTTGTTGCGGAGAAGAACGAGGGGGCAGAGGCCAAGGAACGGGGGACCCCTGCATTAGTGGATTAGCTGGGTTGGGCAACTTGACTTATTTGCTACAGGCGCTTGAGCCAGGGCCAATTGCCAGATTCATCTCATCCATTCAGCAGTGTGCCTGGGAGGAGGGTGTGACGATGGCTTCCGAAGCGCCTGCCAAGAAGGCCTATGATCGTCTGCCGACCAACAAAAGGCACCCGGTCAACAAGGCTAGAGCGCCTACAGCCGCAGCCCGAACGACCAGTGCGCCGCCGATCTTGGTGTTGTGCGTTAGAGCGAGATGGGCAGGCACAGAGCCACGATCCAATTGAGGTGGTGGCACGCGGGCAAGGTGACAGAAGAGAAGAGAGCCAGGGTCGAAGCACCTAGGACTCTGGGAGGATCTCGTTATTCGTCAGCGGTGCCCAATCGAGCCCCGCGCAGAGCTACCATGCTGAAAGGAGCATTGGTGATGTTCCATCCCATCCACCATGCGGAAGGCCTCGTGATGTGACTGACGGCAGCCACGGCGCCAATGGCACCAGATGGAAATGGACCGAGGACCTACCTAAAGCGAACAGCCATGCGATCATCTCGATTGCGACTCTGCTTTCCCCAGACCGGTGCCAACACCGCAGGTCGCTCGGTGCTACGCTCTTCCCAGCCGCCTGCAGCACGCTAACACGAATGTCCTTTCTTAATAATTGTCATAATATTACTACATGCAATTGGTGCGAATAATGGCCATGTTCTGGTCTGCCATCACAACTCCCGGTTCTTAACAGGCCAGGCTATGGGTTGATGCTATGGTTGGGTAGACAGACAGTCGGTATTCTTTTTCTTTTATGTTGGGCTGGCCCGTTTTTCCCACTGCCGACGTGCAATTGTTGGGGAGAAGTGGCATCACAAACTGGCCAGGACAAGGCTCTCCAACCCTGGCGATTATCACATTGGGATGTGTCCGTGCCCTCGCTCACCAGGACTAATCTTCCTTCTTACTAAGAGCGGCCCCCATCCGAGATTCCACGTTTTTTTTTCCCTGTCTGCCACCTCCTGGTTAGGGAGCTGCCGCAGTGACACTGAAGGGATCAGCCCACGACAACCTCGTTTGAGGAAATGGCCAGTGCCATGCCGTATCTGCTTACGGTAATGGCTCACGCCGCACGGCATCAAGTTGCCAGGTCCAAATATAGCACAGGGCAAGCCGAAGCCAGTGACCCTAGACACTCTTCAAACACCTGTGATCCATTTGTCGCTCGCCTTCCATGATATTGTCTTGGTCTTATCTTGGTATTGTCTTGATATTATCTTGATATTGTCTTGATATTCAGCAGCACAGATGACTACATTAGCATCTGCTATCAATAATAAACCCCTCGGAGAAAGCTAAATCTATGGGAATTTGTTCTTTATTGATATTGAGACTCTTGATTGCAGGCGCCGCCAATTATATGCTCAACCTCCCATTGCAAAAGTATTGGCCGGCTACGATAGTCGCAGTACATGGGTGTCCTCGGACCAATCTGATCAATTCCCCTCAAACACCAAACCAAAATGGGGACGGAGCCCGACGATGATCAGTGATGGCCAACATGCCGAAGGGCTCCTGAGGCCCTCTCTTGAGAAGTGATCAAGCAAAAGCCCACCGATCAATGAAGAGTCGCTCAAGGAATGGTTCAAGGTTATATCAGATGACTTCAGCTCTCATCCTCGCCTTTATAATGACCATGGTCTATTTGAAATTTCCCAAGCCAGCAAAATATGCTACATTCGGCCATCCAAATCAGTTGCTCGAGATACATCAGGTTTGTCAGAGGTCACTGTTATCTCCTCCCATATAACATAGGCTAAGGAGATCGCTGCAATTGGGAATGAGACCTGGAAAAGAACTGGGAGTCTTACTGAGACTTGGATGGATGTATACAAGGCTGCTGATACTATAAACAAGAAGATACACGCTGGTCAGCAACCCACAGGGTCTTGTCCAGCCAGCCACTCGAGCGTTAGACCATGTGATCTTTCTCACTCGTGTGGTCGTTGTGGAAGATCAACAGTCTCGTCAGACCGGGTTTTAGGGACTATTAGTCTGCGGAAAATGCCTTGATATTCCAAGGAAGCTCACGGCCCTTCAACTGGAGTATATTTTCTACTCAATGCGATGAAACAAATGGTTAAGCAGAAACTAAACTTCAAAGGGCTCCAGACCAGCGGGACAATTCTCAATAACATTACGACCAAAGTGCAGACATGGTTTCAGCTAAAGTTTCAAGGCCAAGACTAGCCTGGAATATCCTATATTGATACATATTTTAGTCGAAAATAAACAGCAACCCCGTAGTCGCTACAATCCTATATTCCCATCCCTCGATGCAGTATTCCCATTTGGCTTGACAGAAAGCGGGACTACCTACTTGCAGGGAAAGCAGGATGCACAGCAGGATCGCTCGGTGACCGAACGCAGACAGTAAGCAGCCTCAGCAATGGAGGGTAGCATCACTCGTTGCGGCACAGCAGTGGCGTTTTGCCCAGGAGGCAGTGCAGTGCCGATGAGGCGGCGACGATTGCCCCTTTCTTCAGGGGTCAATGGTACCCAAGACACGAGGAGAAGGTGCAACAGCCCTGCCCAATTCCTTGCGTTTGGGTTACGGTAGCATGTTTGTCGGCTCGGTCACCGGCACACCCACACACCATCCCACGCAGATCACCTCATGTTTCGAGAACCATTCTAAGAACGGTCTAGGACACGACTACGTTGCGGCTCGGCGGGTCTAGTGGTGTGTGAGGGGGGCCCGGTGAGACTAGAGCTAGTTTTCTCACATCAAGGGCAATGTCGGTAGAGAGGCAAGGTAACTGGCTTAAAACATGGTGTACACAGAACCTCCAGTGTTGAATTTCAACACAATATCAAAGCAATTAATACAGTAATAAACACAATATCGAGCTAAATACTGTAGATTAATTTATAGTTGGCTTATTGTCACGTCTAACGTTACTAATAAGAAAATGAGGTCCCCGACTTGCGTGAAAAGAGCTTTGGTGTGCCATGTTTTATGCCGGCCGCTTGACTACGTTTAGTGTCCCGATCCCATAGGGCCTTGATACCAGGAGCCCATGTAGGTAGGTATCTTTGAAGTAATCAAAGAGAAGTACCTTCCTATTTTTCCATTCAGCGACAAAACGGATTCTCTGTGAGCACGCTATAAGCAATCTCTTTGATACTAGGAGAGCTTGTTCATATCAGAATTATGAGTAAGATGAATACACCTGTTCAAAAATAGCTTAAGAATATTCTTAGTCTGGATTTCTTCGCCTTAAATACACCTAGCGAGGAGTTTTGAATCTACTAGTTATATTAGTACTAACTCTCTATTCTTACATTTGCTGGCTTTATAGTATTACAACCCAAAGGCTTCAAGATCTTATTAATAAGCTGGATCTATGTTTGCAGGCAAAGGTTCAACCTCCTGGCCAAATCTTGTTATATGCGAGCTAATAGGAACTTTTGGAGTCTTCCTAGAGTCTAGTCACATTACCTTTCCCAGCTACGCTCAGACTTGCCTCACTTTTTACTTTCCCGTCATACAGCAACCTCTACTTACCTCCATATTCTGTTGAAATTATTCAACACTTTCCTCTTCTTTCATCTCAAGCCATGATTAATCTCCTGGTCGTTTATCCTTTATCGCCATACCTCTGCAGCCTTGTATTTACCATTTTGCTCTCCCGGGCCTTGGCTCAGGTTGGTCACCTGCAAATAGCTGATCAGACGATACCGCCCTCGAAAATAAACCAGCTGTATCTTTAGATACAAGGCCGTTGATGGCTGGCAGGCCATCATAGGGGTAGGCAAAGCTGATGAAGCTGGGGATTTCAGCAGCTATTGATCGCATTTACCATCATCGCGGCAAATAAGATATGACTAACCTGCTTGAAGCAGCCCGAGGCTATGGCTGTTGATTGCATTCACGAGGGCCGGGGTGGATAGGATCGAGGAGAGGTCTGACTTACCTGCTCAAGGCTGTAGCTGTTGATCGCATTCATCAGTTATGCGGCGGATAGGATCAAAATTACCTGCTTGAGGCTGCAACTATTGATCGGTTCATAAGGGTGAAGGTAAATAAGATCAAGGGTAAAGAAATAACAGCATACTGTCATCAATCTTCCTCGCAACACCACGAAACGCTTTCCTCGCAAGCTCACGATAGCGTCACCAAAGACATCACAAACCGAAGTCCATTTTTCAGTCGACCAATTGCCGATTGTTTCGAAATCCAGCAGCCGATGACCGCCGACGTGTAGAGTAACCTACCATCAATTAGATAGGCAAGGCTGGAAGCTACGCCCAGCCCCTGAAGGGGTCGGACAACACCTTCTCTTCTTCAGCTTTGCCTAATCAATGAAGTAGCCCCTCACCTGCCTACAGTGGGCTCTTTATCCCCCCCCCCCCCCGACGACGGAGCCACAACCTGGGTCAAATGGTCGGACATCTTCACTGAAACAGATAGGGAAGATGACACAAAAAGGGCATGGATGGTGTACCTGACATATCTCAGAGAAGGCATCAACTGGACCCCCACTGCCCACGCCGAAATGAGAAGATATCTGGCCGTCCGAAGACTCTACCAACTACAGAATGAGAGTCTTTACTCACCAAATACTCATTAATTGTATCGCGCGGCAAATATCCGACGACAGGACCCGAATCTTGCAGTTGGCCACTTACTCACCACGCTTTACCCACGCTACCACGTCCATGAGTTTTGGGAGTTATACAGAAGAGTTTATCCAGCTGTGGCTGGAGGGGTCAGAAGGAGGCGACGAACAAGCGACAGGAACCGAGAAAGTGGGAGAGGGGAGGCCACCGCCACCAACAACAGCCTGTCTGCTCTATCCCAGAGTATAGGTGTTGGATCATATCTCGTCGAAATCCCTCACCACCTACAGCGGAATAACGAGCAATTAGAAAATTCTGGAACCTCAACCAATACGACCTCATCCAGTATCCCACAACTTGGCTCATCCGCTCTAACCCATACCGCAGAGATAACCAACACAATCCAGTCTCTCGGTGCTAGTCATGGAAATACTACATCATCCGCTCTGAATGAAGATGCAGAGATAACCAACATGATCCAATTTCTCGGCGCAGGTCAAGAAAACGCTACACTGTCTGAAAATGCGGAAGTGGCCAATATGGTCCCACCTCACAGTTCTAGTCATGAGAACATTATCCCACATAGCCCGGCTGGCTAGCCTTTTCCCAACGCTACCTTCTATTCCACTGGAAGAGTGTTTAAGAACGCCATTAATCGGTTAAAGGGGGAGGAAGTACGTGAACTACATCAACCAAGCACTGCCTAGCCCAACCTCCGAGACAACAATGGAAAAAGGAGTCAATGTTAACTCTGCTAACCAGGCATCACTTATTACAAATGTAGGAATAATGTGGGCTGAAGATCCTTTTGATGATATGGACCTCTTGTCAGTCCATGAAGGGGTTTTAAGCAGCCCTTCCATTATATCAGATATGTTTGGGCGATTGGTTATACTAAAACGAAAGTTAAACCAACTTGAAGGAAAGGAGTATAATGGCCAGAGAAACAGAGACAAAGAGAGGTCAGCTTTCTTTGCTGAATTGACTGCAAGTTACAACAAGCTCAGCGCCGACCTGAACCAGCTAGTAGGTCAGGTTGCTGGAGGGGAATTCTACAGAATCAAGAGGTGGGAATATTATGACAACTTTCTGGCCAAGATTTGAGATATCAAGGACACTAGGATGGAAGAGTGGGTATGAACAGACTACTTTCTCTATGATGAAAGGAAAGATTTAGAAGTATAACCCAAAAAAAGTAACAATATTGATTCTATTATTATTATTGACACTCAATAATCTGATAATACCGGCCACAGACTTGAAAATAAGCAGCTTATTGTTTGAGTGTCTCATTTTCAGTGTCACTTCCTTGCCCTGGTATGAAGGTCTAATAGGGCTGTGAATAGTGGTTAGCAATTGACTATGATAGATGAGGATCTAGACTATTGTAGGCTATTTGCCTACACGGCGGTCTGAGGTGGTTGATAGCAAAGGCTCAGCAATGCGCCGTCTCCTGGCTGTTCCACTACCAGCCACGATGACAAACCTCCACCTTGAATCAAAATCGGAAATCACGATAAGTAAAAGCGTTGAGAAAACTCTTGTGGCCAATTCAGATTGCATGTCCAGCCACTGTATGCTAAAGGTCTTGGTAGTTAATGTACACCTCTAATATTGCAACATAGAGTGTCAAACCATTGGGAGACGTCGACCCCCTCCCGTCTTCTTCACTCCATTATGTATCGTACATCCCTCTTCCCGCACTCTCTTTGTTCATATCGATTGTAATTCCTCGTCAACGCTGTCTCACAAAGGAAAACCGCACATCCCTGTCCCCGGACCTCGGTGTCGCCTCTACTGAGCGAGCTGTCGGCGACCCTTGTTTCTCCTACGCTGCAGAATCTTCCTCCCCGTCCTGCTTCTCTTGCGTGCGAGGAATCCATGTCTGCGTTTCTGGACCAGGCGAGTGTGTCCGTTCATTGTGTTTCGGGGCCCGAAGCGGACCGAGCCGAGCGCTGGGTTCGATGTGATGGCGGAGTTGGGGACGACATCAGCGGCGGCCGATTCCGTCACTGAGGGGGTGAAAGAGGTGACATTCGGGCGGAATGCGGGTTGGGGCTGGAGAGTTGGGCGGAGAGGTGTGAAGGAGGTGAATGTCCTGGTTTTGCACATGGTTAGAAGGATTCTGAGGCTTGGTAGGGCGGGCGCACACACCTGACAGAGGGCTTTGAGAAGGCAGGCCGCACAAGGCGAATTGCCGAGCGTGCAATTGTGTTCATCGTTAATGTGGTGGGGTAATTGAGCCGCTCTCTTGATGCTGCGGGATTGGAATCGGAGATCAAATCGAAGCTCTCGGCGAAGTTGAAGATTTCTGATCCACCTTGAATTCAACAGCCAATCAGACTTGCCCTATTATAGCTACCCTGTACTTGAGACAAACTGCGAGGTGGTCGCATATCATCGACTGAGTGAGTCCTGTAAAGTAATTTAGTTTTTCCATTTAGAAAGCCATTCTGAAAAATCCCAGTTGTTTTCTACCTACATTTGGTATCTAGGGTTTCTAGTCTGACAACCGGAGGTGTCTGTTCGATTCAGATCTAGAATACCTAGCCTTCTTTACTATTTGCACCTACTAATATATTCAAGCGAGAATTACCTGACTGTGCTCTGGTCAAAGGATATAAGGTATATAGAGCGATGAGATGTTAATTCCAGCCATTAGCCACTGGATACCATCACATCGTCACAATGTTGCTGAGTTACTTCCCAGCCGACCCCTCTTCCCCATTGAGATACCCCAAGGCCGTGAAAGCCCGGCGCAAGATCTCACGGATAGTATTCTCCTTAAGAAGGTTATAATCCATCGTTAACCCACCCGTCTCCCTTGTCGCCCGTGAGCTCTCTTCCTTGACCTTCACATACAGCTCCTTGTCCTCTGGGTGCTCCACCAACCAGTCACGGAAGATGCGGTGGCGCTCAACCTCGGGGCAGTCTGGCGACCAGACGTGCAGGTTCGCCACCAGCGGCTCATAGCCACAGAAGAAACGGTGCCCGTGCCAGTGCGGCTCGCGCGTGAGGAAATGGAAGCCAGCAGCCTCGAGCGCGGGAACGAACGCCGGCTCGTCGGTGTTGTCCGGCACGACCAGGTCGATATCAATGATATTCTTGGCAGGGAGGCCTGGGACGCTGGTTGACCCGGTGTGATGAACCTCGATAGCCTTGTCGCCCAGGGCTGAGACGATCCGGGACTTGAAGGTCTCAAAGTGTTGAGGCCATGCGGGATTGGGTGGCACGATCTCGAGAGGGGGTTTGGATTTGCGAAATGAGACTCGCTCGAGTCGAGATTCATCGAATTTGTAGTCTCCCAAGAGTTCCTCAACAGAAGGGGCCATTTTGACAGTGTTAGAGAGTGTGCAACGAGTTGTACCTTCTTGTGGACTATAATCACAGAGCACAATACAACAATAAACTTATTTATAATGGTGCGACAGAGGCTACTATAATATAGACAGACGCTGCTTTGTTACTTCCACGCGACTGTGCCTTTGCAAGACTTACCTAAGGTAGAGCAGTGGACAATTGCGACATTGATGTATGTAATACGGTCTTAACGATGAGTCACTCGCCGAGAAGGATCGCTGAAGCTATGCAATCATCTCCCTTTCCCGTGTTTCCCATGTTTAGCGCAATGCAAGGAAACGAGAAAACGAACCATTCACCACTGCATTTCACGGCTAAATTAGAGATGCAGCGAGATTAGTCAATGAGATTCTCACTCAAGCGTGACGAGAACATACTAAGGGCAGCGTATCTGTGATCAATTGTGACAATATGATTGATTGAAAGTGGCATATATACGCACAATTTCCAGTTTATTGATGTAATCCCGTGTTGATAAATGAGGATATTCAAATGTCTGATTCCAATCGTATCGTGCCTTCCTCGAGATTGCGGCTATCTAGGGTAGGTAAGTTGGTTCGGCTGTATATTGAGCGAGACTGTATAGCTCGCTTGTTTCCAAATACAAGAGTAACTTGCGACGGAAAAGCTAAAGTTCGACCGTGGCTAGTGGGAACCTTGAGAGGGTCAAGAAGCAACTGATCTGAGGCTGGACTACAGGATACCTAATGAGGCTACTGCTTGAGGCAACTAAGAGAGAGTTTGGCTCAGCATTGACCACTCCTTCCCTCGGAGCTTTGGGGTTCCGATCGTCCCAGATTTGCGTGGCCTGCAGGGGGCTTGCAGGGGTCCCGCCTCCGAGTTGACCCCTAAAATCCAAAGCGTTCAGTGGAGGCTCCGTAATAATAACTTATCGATAGTCTACTCAGCGCAATCTCCCTGACCGCAAGTCAGATTACACTTCAATTGTTGCACTTTGTTGCACTTGCTCAGATAGGGATTGAGTACGTGTACGGGACGGAGATTTGGATTGATCATCGCGGAGCAATTGATTGAGACTGTTTGTTTCCTCCGACGGACAAAAAGTCATTGCCCAGCAGGATTTCCACCTCCCGCACCGCACCAGCGCCCATCACCGGTATCAGCGCCAGCGTCACCATGGCCAGCAGCTCCCAGGAAGCATCCACGGCATCTGCCACGGCCCTCAAGACGCCCATTGACCACCCAACCGCAGACAGCAAGCCGGCACCCAGGGCCGAGTTGACCGCAGACCAGAAGACCAAGTACGAGGCTCTCCTGGCCAAAGCCAAGGAGTTCAAGGAGGTCAAGTGCACCACTGAGTCCAAGAGCGGTGACCTCACCGATGGCGAACACCAATGGTTGTCCCGCGAGTGCCTTTTGCGGTATCTCCGTGCGACCAAGTGGAACGTCGACGAGTCGGCCAAGAGGCTGCTTGACACGCTCGCCTGGCGCCGCGAATACGGCCTGGAAGGCTTCACTCCCGAGTACATCTCCCCGGAGCAGGAGACGGGCAAGCAGATAATCTTCGGCTACGACCGCTTTGGACGCCCGTGCCAGTACCTGAACCCCAACCGCCAGAACACCGAGACAAGCCCCAGGCAGATCCACCATCTTTTCTACATGGTTGAGCGAGTCACCGATCTGATGCCGCCTGGCGTTGAGACCCTCAGCCTGCTCATCAACTTCAAGCCCAGCAAGGCGAGAAAGGACACCAGTGTCCCCATCAGCACGGCCCGTGAGGTGCTGCACATCCTGCAGAACCACTACCCCGAGCGACTTGGCAAGGCTCTCATTATCAATGGTAAGTTCGTCCCCGGACTCTAAATTGCTGTATATAAAACCGGGTGCGATGGCCCCCTGCTAACTCTTGATTTTTTTTCTTCTCACTGCAGTGCCTTGGCTTGTTTGGGGGTTCTTCAAGCTCATCACCCCATTTATTGACCCTGTGACCCGTGAGAAGCTCAAGTTCAACGAGGACATGAAGCAGTATGTGCCACCAGAGCAGCTCTGGAGCGCCGACTGGGGAGGTGACCTGGAATTCGAGTACGACCACGAGACGTTCTGGCCCGCCCTCAACGAGATGTGCCGGAAACGCCGTGAGGAGAAGGCCAAGCGCTGGGCGGCAGCTGGCAAGCAGATTGGCGAGTCAGAGGATTACCTCGCGGGGGGCGTGGACGTGAGCGTCACCGGCTTCAAGTACGAGGCCGGCAAGGCGGCCGCCGTGTCCCAGAGCGACCTGGATGCAGTGGAGGAGAAGTTGGCTCAGGCTAAATTGGAGGAGAAGGAGGACGTCACGGTCGCGGCGACCACTGCTGCTTGAGCAGGGTGGCCAAGGCTGACTCGACTGTTGTTGGTGTGGCGGTGCGCGTTCCCCTACATGTTTTGGAGGAAAGAGGGAATTTGCACCGACTCGAATCATGTGAATAGACTCTTATACGGTATAGAGGGAGTAATTAAGCGGGGCGGACGCTTAAGATACTGAGCTGAATGATAATGGGAGGCAGGATTTGGCAACCAGCTCGCTTGTTTTATGTTCGCCTGTCGCCAGTCTCGTAACGCCAACAGCCAACAGTCTTTCCATCCGATCTCCTGACTGGCCAGTTGGGCCACTAGGTAGCATCGCTCGCTCGGTTTGAAGATTGATGCAGGACGCATGACGCCCAGCTAGGAAGTATAGGTCTTGGCTTGCGAACAACACTATCAGAATCTCCGGTTTGGCTATGTAAGTTTGGCAACAAAGGCCCAAGGGCAACACAAGACTGGTTAGGAGCCAATGCGAGAACTGAATTGTTACAGGCACACCGCTAGATTCCTGCTTGTTGGCCCGGGGGGTTTACTCCGTTAGCCCGGCTTCCCAACTCTAGAGCGGCGGCAGGTAAACTCCGAGTAGGAAAGTTTTTGCTTTCACACAAGACCCCACCGGATTTGTTTATGGTAGCACAAAGTCGCAGGCCATATAAGGATCATTGCATTGGTAGGGCACAGTAGCGGGGTCCTAATGCAGTAGGTGATCCATATATATGGTACACTGTCAGGCAACATCAGCCAAAGTGGGAATCATGAGAGAGCACATCTGTGCACTTTATCCACTTCAAACCTGGCTGCAGGTACTGGAAATAAAAAATGCCCTGGAAAACTTAGACGCCTTACGCCTTTACCTAGGCAGCACTCACACCAAGCCAGGGGTCGTTGCTGGTAGTCTGCTGCATGAAGATAGAAAGGTAGTAGCCCCAGATTCCAGAACAGCCTAGCGATGAAACCTCGGAAGCTGTACAACTCAAAGCGACCGGAATTTTCTTGAGTTGGAACATCAGCTGACCAGGAAGACAGATTGTTAATCAGAGTGTAATACTGCTGTATCCGGTTGCTTGCCGACACGACAGAGCACCAATGGCGGCAACTGTACGCACGTCATTCGTCACTCGTCAAAGCTGTGATACTCACATCTGGATGCTTGCAGGCTACTATCATTGGTTCTCAGTCCAGAGTTCGTTGTCGTCTTACCATCCACGATGCGCCGATTGTAGAACCGGCGACAGCAGACTCTCGTATATAAGAGCTGGCCCACAACTGGGGACCAATAGACAGAGCTTTCAGTTCGTCGCAGCCCGCAACTCTCAACAGTTCCAAGGTTCGAGTTATATACGGACACACGTGACAGTCTCTCAACGTCTACTTGCATCTGCTTGCCTAACATATCCCAGATACAAGCCCCATACGAGTGCCGTAGCGATGGGTCAGTTGTGGGTACGTTGGTACAGTTGCCTAATTATGTACCAGGCAGCAACGTGGGGACACATATTCACGAGATCGTGAACACTCACGCCGCTTCGACTGCCCGCAGCTAACCGTTCGGAGTTGACGGTTTACGGCCGGTTCTGCCCTGGCACTGGATGCCGTGTAGCGGTTGCTCCTCCCGGCTGATGGTAGGGCCGGTTTGGTGCCATGATTTCATGGTTCGCACGGCCACACCTCCCTGCATCCACGGAACCCGTGCGGATGCCTCTACCCCATAGGATGGAAGCGAGGGCGGCGTATCATGTTACCCTTCTTGTGCTATCTCAACAAACGTCGCACTGGGCGAGGCTTCTTTGTCTCTTTGGGCTCGTAATTGCCACGAACCCAGCATCGATGCCTTGATGGAGAATTCGGCCCTGTCTGACACACTGGCTGCCTCTGTGCGCACGTATGACTCTCCACGGCCTCCACAACTTCACCGGTCGTCATCATGGACAAACTATATAAAGAGGGTGTGCCCCTTTCTGGAACGTAGCTGAGGAATATGTTGTGCCACCTAGTAGTACCCTCCGACTCGCCTAACTAACTGCAAATACCTGCTCTAGATACAAAGCAACCCCCCGTGCGTATTTGGTGCCCAACCTCCTCCTCCCTCCTTCCTTTCCCCTCTACCAAGACCATAGGGAGTTCAAATCAACATGGCTGCATCCATGATGAATTCACTCACAAAGTTGGGCATCTTGAACCACGACAAGATGCCCAACATGACCACGGGGACCAATGGCACCGCCGCCGCCGGCCTCATGGACACCCTCCTCGCATCCGCAAGTCAGGCGTCGCCGGTCCTGCAGCTCGTTCTATTCGTTTACCGTCTGCTCGGCCTGCCCTTTGGGCTCGACCCCTCCATCCTCCTGACCGTCGCCGGGACGCTCTGGGCCGCCCAGTACGCCATCTTCCAGGTATACCACTACATCGAGGGCATCGTCGAGAAACACCTGATGTGTAGTATAACGGTGAACGATAACGATAGCATCTATCATCACCTCATGGAGTGGCTGAGCAAGCAGCCCAGTCTCAATAACAACCGCTACCTCATGGCCCAGACTGTGTGGAAGAGCGCGTGGGAGGAGGATGAGGAGGATGACGAGAACGGGGTCGAGTCTCACTTGTTCTGGACTGATGGTGGGCAGGGCGATGGGGGCAAGTATCTCAACTTTTCCAACCAGGCTGCGAGATCGGTATGTTTCCCCCCTCAAATTCCTATCTGCTTCCTTGAGAGCGAGGCAGAAATAAGATAAAGCAAGCCCAGAAACTCGAATTCCGAGTGTAGTGAATCCAAGAAGCTAATCAAGTCGAAATAGGTTCCTCGATATGTACCAGCTCTTGGAACCACTGGTTTCTGGCACAAGGGAACTCGCTTTAGGGTTTACCGCAGAAAAGAGTCATTCGTCAACACCTCTGGCTGGAGCGCCATGAAGGATCAGGAAGAAATTAAAATCTCATCTTTTGGACGGTCAATTGGTATGCCACTCTTACACTGCCCCTATATCAAAGCAAACATAGAGACTGATCGATTCGTAAAGCCCCCATCAAGCTGTTACTGGCAGAGGCCAAGATCCACTACTACCATGATACTCACCAGAAGACGACCATCTACCGCCCTAGACAGAAGGAACAGCGTCGCGACTATAGCATGTGGCAGCAGGTTGCTCGCCGCCCTGTCAGACCCATGAGTACTGTCGTCCTGGACTCCGAGGAGAAGCACAACGTACTGGGGGACATCAACGAATATCTGCATCCCCGCACACCTAGATGGTACGCCTCGCGTGGTATTCCCCTTCGCCGCGGCTACCTGTTCCACGGTCCTCCTGGTACTGGAAAGACGAGCTTCTCATTCGCGCTTGCCGGCGTTTTTGGTATCGACATTTATGTCATTAGTCTTCAGGATATCAGTGTGACTGAAGAGGACTTGGCTACTCTCTTTACGAGGCTTCCGAGGCGCTGTATTGTTCTTCTGGAGGATATTGACACTGCTGGACTTCGTCGGGATCCCGATGCAGAGGAAGAAGAAGAAGCAAAGGAAAAGGACGTTAAAGCAATAGAGGAAAAGCCAACAGAGAATGGCGTCAAGGAAACAGCAACCTCTGAGAAACCGGTTGCAAATGGCACATCAGAAACTCCCAAGGTCAACGGAACAACCGAGAAGAAAAAGCCCAAGAAGAAAGCAAAGAAGGTCGCGGAGTCCGAGTCGGAATCGGACTCGAGCTCCGATGAAAGTGACAGCGACAGCGAGAAGCGCAAGAAGAAGCGGTCTTCCAAGAAGAGTAGCTCAAAGAAGGACAGCAGGAAGAGAAGTTCAGGCAAGAGGGGCGATAAGCTCTCACCCCCCGAAAGTATTTCTCTCTCCGGCCTCCTCAACGCCATTGACGGCGTTGCTTCTCACGAAGGCCGCGTCCTTATCATGACTACCAACAAGCCTGAATCCCTGGATGAGGCGCTGGTGCGACCGGGCCGTGTGGATATGCAAGTCGCCTTCAGCCACGCCTCGCGCCAGCAGGCCTGCGAGCTTTTCCACAGGATGTACGAGGCCCGCTGGAAGCAGCCCCATCAGATTCAGGCGCCTAATAACAGCATTCTTCCCGCTTCTTTGGTCACACAAGATGCAAAGAAGCAGGAAGGGAAGCTGATTCTCCCCGGTCAAACCAGCGATGAGAAGCCAATGACCCCCGAGGAGTTGAAGGAGATTTCCAAGGAGTTCGGCAACATCATCCCCGAGGGCGTCTTTTCTCCCGCAGAAATCCAAGGCTTCCTACTAAAGAGGAAGGCCAGCCCGCGCAAGGCCATTGCCGATGCTCATGGGTGGATTGAGGCGACTATAAAACAGAAGGAAGCCAAATCCAAGGTTTCGACTGTCCAGTAGATTGGATCAGTGTTTGTGGGCAAGTACATGCGCTTGCCTGGAGGATGTAGAGTACAGGAGGGCCATGGAATGATATGAAAAGTTTATATGAAAGACAAATTTGGAATTCGGGGTTTTTAATCGTCTATTGCTGTTATCGAGTTAGGTCTGAAGTCTACGAGAGGAGTTTTAGACAGCTAGTTAGAAGCTGTGCTCTTTTTGTCACGTTGTGTCATTTGAAGAAAGAATGGAACCAAATAATAATGAACGCAATTTTGAGTTTAAATCTATACCTCGTATTTATTTTCAAGTGAATAAAGATTTACGCACTGGTGAATCGGTGACGGTGGTAGAGGTTTCGGTGAGCCTCGGTGAGAAATGTAGTTCCAACAAGGCAAACCCCACGTCACCGGTTCTCACCGACCCACGACCTGCTTCCTCCATCCCGCCCCAGCCTCCAGCGAAGCTCTGTCCCAATTCTCCACGACGACAGGCCTCCTAATTCTCGCAAGCGCATATCGTTCTCTCTGAAAGATACTCAAACCAACCCGCTACAGCTCAAGATGGGTAGCTTACAACCCAACCCGGCGACGATAGGCAAGGAGCCCGGGGTTCGGCTCCCAAGCAACGGCAAGACGATATACCACCGCCCCCTCAACCGGTCCAAGACGGCCGAGATCAGCCAGGCCAGCTTCGCCTACCTATTCGGAGAGATGATCACCTACGCTCAGCGACGGGTCAAGGGCATCCAGGAGCTCGAACAACGGTACGCCGCGGTCTCCCCTCCAACCCCTTTGTACAATTGCTAAACATCACAAACAAACAGGCTGAACGTCCAGGGCCACTCCATCGGCCTCAAGCTCCTCGACCTCCTCCTCTTCCGCGAGCCCGCCCGCTCGCAGCAGCGACCCACCACCATCATCGCCCTCCTGCACTTCATCAAGCAGACCGTCTGGCAGCACCTCTTCGCCCGGCAGGCCGACCGCCTCGAGAAGTCGGCCAACCCGGACACGCCCGACGAGTACATGATCATCGACAACGAGCCCCTCGTGAACCAGTTCGTCAGCGTGCCCCGCGAGATGAGCCAGCTCAACTGCGCCGCCTTCGTGGCGGGCATCGTCGAGGGCGTGTGCGACGGCGCCGACTTCCCCGCCCGCGTGACGGCGCACACCGTCGCCGAGGGGGAGATGTGGCCGGGGAAGACGGTGTTCCTCGTCAAGTTCAGGAGCGAGGTGGTGGAGAGGGAGGCGTTCCTGACGAAGACCTGAAGGGCGTTGTAATAGGGGAGGGAGTGGGCGTGGTGGAGGTTTGGGAAAGAGCAAAATTACATGTTTGACACGGCATTGGGCACGGCGTTTCGTTTACGGAGTCGGTAGACGGGGGGACATATTCGCTACCTTTTCTTTTTCTATTATTCTCTCTGGCATCTGGACCTCCCTATACTGGGTTTACTGGGTTGAATTTCTGTGTTGGAAGAATACCATGATGATGAATAAACAATACTATTCATTTCTACAGACCACCCTGCGTCGTGATCGCTATGCTTGCTCAAATCATGCCACGCCCCAAGGCCCATCCCCTTTAACGCCAATTGTAAATCAATGTCCCAAAACGCCCCAGATACCAGTCCAGCCATTTGTCTTTGACAGCACTCACGAGGAGCAAACTTCCCAAATCACCGCGGCAGGGCCTTGGAAGGACGCGAACGCGACGACCCGCCGCCCCCTCCTCCCCTACTCGAACCCGCGCCGGGGGCAGGCGGGCCCTTCTTCATCAGGTCGCCCAGCCCCAGGTCCTTCCAGGCGGGCTCGCGGGTCTTCTGCGTGGCGCGCTGGATGCCGAAGGCGGCGTGCTGGTCGGGCACGACGTCGTCCTCGTCCTCCGGGTTGACGGGCTGGTGCTGCGGCGGGACGTAGATGTCGTCCTCGGGCAGGCGGTCGCGGCAGAAGTCCTCGAAGAGGTCGGCGTGGCGCGACTCGCGCATGTGCACGTACGTGAATGTGGAATCCTTGTTCTGCGAGCCAGGTGGTTAGCGGACGAGGGCTGCCTATGGTGGTTCAGCGGGGGAGTGCCGTACCATTGTCAAAGGTGTGTGTTTGTCGGTTGGCAAAGTGCGGTCTATGAGGCTCGCTGGGAGTTTGGTGATGTCAGATCCCAATGCGCTGCTGGTGGAATGCTGGTGGGGCTGTAGGAGGTTGTTAGCACTTGGCACCGTTAGAGTTCTTCTTTCATCCAAACAACCCAAAACACAAAAAGTATTGTTCTTTTATTTCACAAGATGCTTACTTATATATGCATTTGTACACCCATGTTCATGTTCAGTGCCTAATAGGTAATTATACCGGTACATATGACACATTATATTCCTATAGCCAGACATATCATCTTCACCGATATACAGAACAAGATCTCGGATTTCCAATGCATTTGTTAATTTTATTCTGGTCTTTATTTTAATTACCATGTTACGGATCTACCCAACGCTGTGATGTACATCTGCGTGGCTGATACTCAATACTTACCTTGGTCAAGACTCACCTTAAGAGACATCAACACATGATTGTCGACATCATAGGCAATGAGAGGCCCGTGGAATATGTATTCCATCCAGTTTAACTAGGTATAGTTAGCCTGAAATCAATATTGTATAATTACCTTGGTTCAGAGAGCCGTGTGTGAAGTAGCTGCTTTGGGTGAGTGAGAGAGCAGCAAGTTGGATCAACGTCCCGGGCCGACAAAGCGGCGAAAGTGTCTTGTGTTTGTATAAACGGGGGGTATTATGTATCAAGCGCATTCCCTTTTCCAAGTCCGTGGTATCATCATGCTATCCAGTCAGAACGAAAGAAACCCCTCCAGAATAACAAGAAACCCCAGAATACAAAATAAGGAGAAGCAGCGAAATCAAAATCAAAATGGAGCGAGTGGTAACTCCCCTATATCGTCCACCGAAACATTTTGCACATCGTCAAGCTCGGTAACTCCTCTTCTATAAGCGAGGATAGCACACAAATCTCGAAAGAGTCAGCAGGGGGGGTCAGATTATATCCTTGCACACATCGCACATTTGCTTTCGCGAAGATCTCCCACTTCAGTTACCCGCCTTCTCATTCAAAGCAGTCTCTCTCGGCTGCTTCGAAGAGTCGGACGAGCTGGCCGCCAGGTCATTCCCCTCAGCGGCCACGACACCCGCATTCACCGAGTCGTCGTCCCTCTCCAGCTTCTTGGCGTTCTCGAGGCGCACGTTCTCCTCCAGCTCCTCGATGTTGGCGTCGACCATGGCGCCCCACTTGCTCTGGCCCTCGCCGCGGCGGCCGGGGGGGATGAAGATGTCGAACCATCTGGGGACGATGAAGCCGGCGAAGATGATGATGAGGCAGATGTGGCCGACACCGAACCCGAGCACGTGGAGCGGGTCGTTGCGCAGCGTGTAGAAGGAGGGGTAGGAGAAGCTGAAGACGATGGCGAGGGCCGGGCCGGCCACGTATCGGAGCAGGGCGGACCAGAAGACGGGGATGCTCCAGTTTCTTCCTTGGCCGACGATCAGATTCAAGTCACGACGTAATTGGTTACCCTGTTAGGGAAAAGGTGGTTAGCATAAGGAGCAAACATCAAGGGGGGGTTTGTGCGAGTCTTACAGAGTAGAAAGCAAGGAACCAGAAACGTTGAAAAAGGGCACTACTCTCCAACGGCCTCAGGAAACCCTGGCTCTCGGTTCCCCAGAGCCTGAACTTGGCCGACTTGGCATCCGGGGTCCTGCCAATAAGCACAGCAGCAACCGTGAAGACGATGTAAATACCAAAGCCTGTTCCAGCGCCGGCCTCGGCACTCACGGTGTGGGCGACAATGACACCGAGGACCTGGGCTCCAAAGTAGGCAAAGGTGTACAGAGCGAAAGCGGGCAATCCCACCTGCTCGACAACGTCGTGCCATCGGTAGACGACAGTAGCGCAGACACACTCGGCCCAGACGACGAACACAAGCGCCACGTCACTGATCCAACGATCGACGCCAGTCAGCAGATAGGTGCCGAATTCGGCACAGTATGGGATGGACAGGAGGAACGAGACCACGACAGAGCTTGTCACCACGATGATACGGTTCCACCTTGGCTTGGCGTCCATGATGAGAGTCACGACGGCGTCCAGCATGGCAAACGCGGAACTGTAGCCGAGAACCATGAGGGTGAAGAAGAAGAGGACAGCCCAGAGGTTGGAAGCAGGCATCTGAACAATGGCCTCGGGAAGGGTAAGGAATCCGACCATGAAACTGCCCAGTCTCTCCTCGGGATTAGGGGTCATGCCCAGATAACCAACAACACCAAAAACAGCAAAGGCGGCAATGTTCTCAAAGAGGACGTTGCTGGTAACGACGAGGATGGAGTCCACCACGGCATTGGAGTGCTTCTTGTTGTATGAAGCGTAGGAGGTGAAGTATCCGAAACCGACGCCAGTAGAGAAGAAGACCTGACCGCAGGCGGTTTGCCAGAGTGAACCATTGGCAAGCTCGGAGCCTCTCCATGTGGCAAAGTACAGCTTGATGCCGTCCTTGGCGTTGGGCAGAGAGCAGGATCGGCCGATGAGGATGATGGTGACAACAATGGGGAGTCCCATGGTGAAGTAGACAACACGGCCAGTCAAACCACATCCACGGAAGATGGACAGCCAGACGAGGAACCATGTGAAGATGCACCAGCCAACAGTCTCACCATTGACGCGTGTACCGACATACTCAGTCCAGTCCAGGATACCGGTGCCATCGGTGGTGTAGTTGCCGGGAATAGGCTCTGGTACCACGGCGGTGATATTGTTGTAGAACTCGGTAGCACGACCGGCCCAGGGCAGAGGGCTGTGGAAAGAGTACCGGAAGTAGGTCATGATCCAGGCGAGATTGACGACAAAGTAAGGAGTGACGACGAAGCCGATGTACAGCATCGCGAGGCCGGTTCCCTTGAGACGATGGTTCATGCTGTTGAAGGCAACGACGGAACCCGCGCGGTAGGCATTCCCAATGGCGATTTCAAGGATGAGCACGGGGATCGCAATGAGGAACACACACATGAGATAGGGGATGTACCACTGCAGCCCATGGTTGTTGTAGACAACGGAAGGATACCGCAAGAGGTTGCCCATGCCGGCGCAGCCACCCATCGCGGCGAGGACAAAGGCCGTCCTCGAGGGCCACTGGTCACGGCCGTCCTCGGCGGTATCGGGAGGCGGCGCAAAGGCGTTTCCAACCTTCTTCAGGACCCCCACCGGGCCCAGCTCAGCCGCCCTTCGGGGCGCATTGGCAATGCTGCTGCCAAAGTTCTTGATGGCGTTCATGCTGGACAGGGAAGACAGCCTCCTTGTCTCCCTACAGTCCTCACGCGAGTGTTGACAGGGCTGCCAGAGATGGAAACAAGGTTTATCAAGCAAACGCGATCTAGAGCCACAAGCTCTGCGGTAGCGTTGAACAAGGCTCGGATCACCAGTCGCGCAAACGGTAGTCAGATATTAACTTTAGCACCGGGCTCATCAAAACATTAAAGACCTGTCCACTTGGATATAGGAATTAGAGAAATACTGGACGACAGAACGCCCCGTTTCTGAGAGTGTGAAGGAGAGGCGAGAGGACAAGGTGCAAAACAAACCAGTCTCAAGACGAGGGCAGCAAGAAGGGAATGATATCAAGCGAGGCGGACTCCAAGATATACCATGGAGCCGAAGCAACACAGTCACCAAAGATCAATCAACAAAAGGCACTTGCTTCGAAGAAGTTTCGACAGCAGTTCGAAGTGGAGGGCGCTCGATTTCGCCATCGACCAGCATGGGACCACCAATTATATGCTTTCTCCTCCCAACCAAGAACACCAACGCATTTAGAAGCTCAGGGACTCGGCGAGATAAGGAGTGACTTGAGGAGCGGCTCTCGGGGATAATGACGCAGGTATCATTAGCGCACGTTTCTTATGCAGGGAACACCAGGCCATTTACATGGAGAGTTCCAGGTGTGGATAGGTGAGACTCAGGAGGAGGAGGAGGGCTAGGGTGAAGGATTGGATCGTTCGTCAAGAGGCTACCGGAACTCTCCACCCATTTCCATCTGCTCTGGGACGGGGCGGCGAGCGATCGTCCACGCACCCGACGGCGCCTCCGCGAGCTGTGTGAGACAGACCAGACGACTTGCAGATGGACAATAGCTGCCAAGAGCCGAAAGCAGACGGTGGCATGGATCCACGCAACTGGGCCACAGATGTCTGGGCGGCCAAGCCGGGTTTCCGGATCCGTCCAAAGGTCGAGTTGATCTATACAGTGAAGTCCTACTGTATAGACAAAACTGAAAACGCAGCGTCGTCAATCAGAACGTATGACGGAGAAACAGATCGCGCTCTTTCATAGTCAAACCGCGGGGGCTCGAGCTAGGATGCGGCTCCTGACGACGACGTACAGAGAGGCGAGCAGGCGCAAAACGCCGTAGCACAGAATAGAGCAGATCCATTGGCCTAGTCCTTGACAATGGTCGTGCTAGAGAAGAATCATAATCACTACCTACTGACAAGGTGGCTGAAGTAGGGCATCTTGGCCAACGTGGATGAAGCGAGAAGAGCACGTTCCGTCAGGGTAGATAGAGAGCTTGGCCCGTCTCGGCCTAGGCGCAGAGAACTCGGCTTCCTGGCGCCTCTCGGCGGATTATTCATAGAGCTTTAATTCCCACGAGCGCTTGACGGTGTCATGGAATACCACGCTGCAGCGAGTCGAAGGTCCTAAAGCGAGACGGAGACCAGGGTCCCAGAAATATGCTTACTTGGCCCCCCCGCACACAGTGCCGCGAAGGAGGCAGGACGCATTCGACACATCCCTGCCAGATCAAAGCACGGGCAGGCAGAAGTCATGTAGGCTGATGGTGCGGCTGGACGGCACGCACGTAAAAATCAAGCTTAAAACCCTGGCGAACTTGAGTGGTCAGAAAACCGCCTAGATGCTGCGACGGATCCCGCGCATTTCGTGAAGGAGGGCACCATCTCACTAGCTGCGGCCCTAACTCCTACCTAATTTCTACTTGGCACAGCTGTCCTATTGCCGCCGTTGGATCTGAGGTCATCGGCCTTGGCCTGACTACGACGAGAGCGTGTATCCATCTAAATGCATAGGTAGGTAGATATTGACCATGGTGTCGAGTTCAGAGGGTTGCCATTCTTCACGAGACCACATCACGCAATACCCCCAGACCAGCCGCTTTCGACTGCCCAAGCCATTCAACAACACCGGCCAAGGCTGTTGCCAAGACCAGAGCAAAAATGAGAACTCCAAAGATAAAAACCAAGAGTTCTGTCCAATTTCCAACTCGCCAAGCAAGCCCATCCAAGCTCGCTCCGCCGTCCGGCGCCGAGGGACCAGGTGCCCCATACCACGCATCCCGTCCTTGATCAAACGCAGTGTTACACAACATCGTGCTTTGAACATACTTTACCTCTCCGGGGCTTCTTCTCCGTAGTCAAGTCATAGAGTCCTAAGTGACCCCTCTGAGAATAAGATGATGCCGACGACATGTAAACATATTCAAGGAACCTTATAATTTTCAAACTCACCACTGCGTGGTATTAAAGATATCAACAAGGGCCAATGGAGATCCTCGCAAATAATCACCAGTAACAAAAATAGCTAGAAGTCTCCAAGCAGCATTATCGACGCATTTCCCATGCCCCTGCCGCCTCCACTGTCCCGCTGGCATAACGGAGAAGAGGGAAATCACTTGTGGGTAAAAAGCTGTACCAGCTCGACCCTGTGGATCATTTTCAGAGCAGGCTCCTGATTCTGAACCAAGAGCAAATCGAGGAACTTTTACTCTTGTTCAAAAAGGGAACCCTGTTCCGAGCCACGGAATCCAGGTACAAGGAGGTTTCAAGGAAGTCATCCCATTCCTCTAGATATTGTCTGATGCTCACATTATATCGCTCACAATCTTTGATCCTACGTAAAAAAAATTATTTGTTCTTGATTCACTCGATTTACACCCGGATCCCCTTCTTGGAAAAGGAGATATGAAACAGGCAACCACCTGCAAGCTTTCAATAATTTGATCTAGAAGTCAATCAGATGCGTCCGTCATTCTCTCGTTTTTGCAAGATCCAGCAATAGGTCACCGATGTTGAGTAAATGCCCGTCCACTGCAAAAGAGAATGCCATAATCTTGTTATGCATCATGCCAAAGAGCGAGAGAAGGTGGGGAAGAAAATATGAGCCATTAACACATAAACGTCGTGGATAACCTCGTGTGATTGAACTACCGTTGGCAGTCAATCGCTCATCAAGCCACGCGAGTCTCCTTAGTCTCCTCACGCAGCGCTCTAAGCTGCTTTTCGAAATCCTTAGCAGTCCACTCCCAGTACGAGGTCCAGGCGCCCGCTGCGCCTGCATTGCTTGTTGCTGCTCCTGCGTTTCCCGTTACCGTTTTCATCTTCTCGCCTAGGATGAGCGTCACGCGCAGGGTGCTCTTGATGGCCTCCTCCTGCTTCTCAACCTCTTGCTTGACGGCGTTTTCCTTAAGCTTGACAGAAAGCACAGCCCGGAATGCCTCTGCAATAGCGTCCAGTCTTCGGGCTGTCTCGTCTGGGTCAATGACCGCCAGTTTCGTGATCATGAGGTTGCAGAGCTGTCTAATATCATTATCATCCTTAAGACCAGCGATTACGCGATCGTAAAAGTCAATGTTGTTGATACGGCTGAATGCCGTTTCCATGAGGGCGTACAGGGTCTCGTATGCGCTCTGTGTAGGGTGTCAGTTTAATTCACTATCATCTCAGCTCGCAAAACGTGGGGCGCGTACCTTTCGAACTTCTAGACCATCATCAACCTTGTGCTTGAAGGGGCCAAGCATCACCTCTCTGACAAGTTCAGGCTTGATGATGGACTCTTCCAAAACGTAGGGGACCAATTTGCCCAGGCTAGGCAGAATCAGGTCTGGCTTGTTGTGGGTAGCAGAGTTGAGGGTCATCATAGCAAGTCGACGGTTCTCCAGCTCCTTGTCCTGCAGGACGGCAAGGAGCATATCCACGAGCACCTGGCGTAGCATGGAATCGAAAGCCTCGTCGCTCTCAGGAAGAGTATATCGAATAGCTTGGATAGCCATGCCACGGATGCTTGGGGATTCAACAGAGAGAAGAGCCTAGGAAGAAGACAAGACACGGTCAGCAAACATTCCAATTAGTTCTAAATACACATCTGAAATTCACTTACTTGGAGCTGCGGGATGAATTCGGCCGGGTTAAGAGCCACCAGTCGGCCAGCGCACTCAGCACAAACGACCTTGTTGTCAGCCTCGGTAGAAGCTTGGCGCAGCTTCTCCCAAATGCTAGTAGCATAAGCCTCTACTCCAGAGGAGAGGGATGAGATGGACTGCAGAATCTCCTTCAGGGACTGAATCAGCAAATACTGTGTGCTGCCACCCTCATTCATCTTGTCAAGCACCACAGGCAAGAACTCGCCGACGTTACCGGATCCCGCCCTGCCGAGTGCAAGGGCAGCCGACAAAGACACCTTGTCTGGCTCTGGTCGGAATTGGCTAAGGAAGAGCTGGGGCTTGAGCGGTGATCCGGCACCAAGACCCTTTCCTGCCTCTCCCAGAACCGCCAGAGCGAGACTGATCCGAGCCTCATCCGGCTGGTTAGCATTGTTTTTGAGCTCGTTGATGAAATCATCCACTGTAACTCCTACGGATCCTCCACCTGCGACAAGAAGTGTTCCTATGATCTTGCCTACAACAGATGAATCTCCCAGGACGCTAACTTGAGTGAGGAGTCCCTTCATCAAAGGACCGCCGGAACCAGTCTTTCCGATAGCATGCATCAAGTCGAGGAGCTGGTCCAAGACAATGCTGGCATAGTTGGTCTTGAGGAGTGCGCAAAGAGCATCGATAAGTTCATTGGTGGCGACCAGATCTGAGTGCTCAGATACAAGGCTAGTGAGAATGGCCAGGGCAGGTCCGAGAAGGTGGGTATCATTATTCGTTATGGCTGGCATCAGAGACGAGACTATACCCTTGATAGTGTCCGGCTCAAGTGCGCCTGCAGCAGCTTTTGACAAGGCCAGATGCTTGAGAGCCATGATGCTTGATCCACGCAGCGCCCGGTTTGCCTTCCGTAGCTGAGCAGACAATTCCAGTGCAACATCTTGAATCCAAACCCGGTCGAGCTGGTCAGGAGACTGTGCAGAGGCTGACACCTGGTCGACAGCACGGACAGCTGCCAGGCGAGTAGTCTCATTCTTGAGCCTCTCTTGAAGAATGCCAAGAGCCGCCACTCGCTTGTTAGCTGGCAAAAGAGCAGCGCCCTCAGGACTCGATG